ATAAAAAACTTGACCCCAGATCACGCCCATTCATTTTTGTCGGCATTGACGACAGTACTAAAGGTTACCGTTATTGGAACGGCAACCAAATTCTAACTTCACGCAATGTTATCTTCTCAAAGGAAGACACGGAAATACGTGACTATGATGACGTAGAAATTCCGATTAATCGTCCTATGGAGATTGAGGGGGAGAATGATGAGCAAATCAATCCTCCAACAGACGATAAACTTCCTGATGAGAAGATCAGTACTAAAAATAGTACAACCGAGGAAACACCGAAGCCATCAAAAATTCCACTCCCGACGCGGGAAAAGTCTACACGCATTGCCGAGAAATCACCTTTTCATTACAGATTTCTAAATAATCCTGCGGCAAGAGGCCCTAAGGAATGGCAACACCAAGTACCAGTCCTTACAGAGGAAGAATCTAATTTTGTGCAAAACATGGAAACTTGTGATTATGCAATGTTTGCACAAAAAGCGCTGAATGCAAATGACGATCCGAGAGATGTTGAAGAAGCCAGATCCCGTCAAGATTGGCCTGAATGGAAAAAGGCAATGGACGCGGAAATCCATCAATTAGAGAATCTAGGGACATACATCAAGGTGAAAATCCCTAAAGATAGAGTGGCCATCAATTGCAAATGGGTTTTCCGCCTCAAGCGCGACGCGGAAGGCAAAATTGTATGGCACAAAGCAAGATTAGTTGCAAAGGGATTTTCACAAATCCCCGGAATCGATTTCTTTGAGACTTTCGCACCAGTGATGCGCCTCGATACCTTGTGGCTATTATTAGCTATCGCCGCATCATACGGATTAGTCGCCCACGTTGTTGACGTCGTGGGAGCTTACCTAAATGGTGAACTCAAAGAACAAATATACATGAAGCAAATCCCCGGATACGAGGATGGCACGGACTCAGTACTATTATTACAGAGAACACTCTATGGACTACGACAATCCGGACGCGTGTGGAATGAAAAATTAAACAGGGCTTTCATTCAACTTGGCTTCACGCGGCTATTCTCAGATCAATGTGTCTATATTAGGCACATCAGGAAATATGGCAACAGGGAGTGGTCAGCTTCGTTTTCGCGGCAAACACCGTTGTTTGCCCACCTGCCGAGTTGCGTGCCGGACATAACTATTACAAAATACCATTTTCCCACAATAATTACCTTACTTGAGCTCGTAAAATGTTGAGCACTAACAGTTCTGAGAGTGCGTCGGAGATGGTAAGTACACAATCTCCTGTCTATTTGCTTTTTAAATTTGTTTGTTATCTTTATGTTATGATACTTCTGCTATGTAAATTGTTCTCTACCAACACTGTCCAGCTTTCAGCCAGTCACATTATGCTGTTCAAAAAATTAGTCAAAATTCGAAATTCTTTTTCAGCCACTGTGCAAAGTTGAAGAATGGTGAAACAAACTTCAGCAGTTAAGATTGAAGAAAGTAATTTGATTCTCTTCACCACAAATCTGCAGCACTCCTCATGCTGAATAAAACAGTAAAAAAAGCTAATTTTCAACTAAAATGCCTTTAGTATCATTAAAATTCTGTGGGGTAAGTTATTGTAAGTCCTGTGATAATTACAAGTACTCAGAAGGGAATAAATCTTCTAGTACATTTTCAAATCACTGCTTTTCCCAGGTGTTATACTTTGAATGAGGTATTTTTTATTTACTCTGTGAATATGGAGGGTAAAGACATGACTGTAATGGAGAATTAGCATTAGCAAGAAAGGACAGTAGCTCATCAATTAATTCCTGGAATACAAGAAAATATGTAGAGTGAACATCCTAGTCAGAGATTGAAATATACATACCCATAGTCCTTAAATTTGAGTTGCAATAGTCAAAAGATTTTCTCAGCTACCTTGCCACCAATTTGAAAATTTTCAAAGTCTGCAGATAGAACCATGAGATGAAAAAAATTCCAATGCATTTTTTACTAATCCTTTGACCTGGATTGAACCTCTTAGAGTTGGATAGATTGCAACAGGCTGAAAGCTGGGTAACATCAGTAAAAACAATTCAGAAGGTTAAGTACCATGATACAGAGCTGACAAACAAATTTCCAAACCAAATAGGCAGGAAATGGTGTACCCATCATCACTGATGCACTCTCAGAACTGTTGTTTTCAGTGGATGCTTCACATTTACGAGCCACAAGTAAGGTAATTATCGTGGGAAAACAGTATTTTGTAATAATTATGCGCGGCAGCAACTCGGCAAGTGGACAAATAACGGTGTTTGCCGAAAAAACGAAGCTGACCACTCCCTGTTGCCATAAGGAACAACCTCATCATCATCGGAGTTCACGTTGATGACATGTTAATTTTAGCTTCAGATGACGAAGCCATGGCAGAATTCAAAAGAGAATTTGGCCAAAAGTTTGATATCTCGGATCTTGGAGAACTCAAACAAATAGTGGGATTTGAAGTTCAAAGGGATCTCAAGAAGGGCACAATACATTTAACACAAAATCAGTATGTGGGAAAAATCTTGGACAGATTTGGAATGTCCAAATCCACGCCTGTCAAAATGCCACTCGATCCGAATGTCAAACTAACTAAAACTCCCGAAGGGGAACATCACGGTATCCCAGAATACGCAGCGGCTATAGGATCATTAATGTATGCAGCAATTGGCACGCGGCCTGACATTGCATACGCTATTCAACATTTAAGCCAATTCACAAGCAATCCGAGCCCTGCACACTGGAGTGCAATCAAGCGCGTGTTTAGATACTTAAACGGAACACGCAACTATGGGATAACGTATGGCGGCGGAAACTCTATTCCAGGTTTAGAAGGGTATTCCGATGCTGATTGGGGAAATAATGATCTTGATTGCAAGTCTATTTCAGGATACATTTTCCTATTCGGGAATGCGCCCATATCATGGGCATCACGCAAACAGCGCACTGTTGCTGTATCCACAATGGAAGCAGAATATATGGCCGCAAGTTTAGCAACTCGGGAAGCGATATGGCTTCGCACTTTATTAACAGAAATTGGTTTATTACAAAATAAACCTACACTACTGAATATCGACAACCAATCTGCAATTGACTTTTCAAAGAATCAAGGGTCACATTCAAAGTCAAAGCATATTGATATTCAACATCATTTTGTACGCGAACGTCTCGGCGACAACTCAATCATAATAGAACACTGCGCATCAGAAGACAATCTGGCCGATGTATTTACTAAGGCGCTACCACGCCCAGCTCACGAGAGATTCACGTCTCGCATCGGCATAGATTCGGAGTTGAGGGGGAGTGTTGAATAGTCGAGGCGGACCGGCAACTCCGGTATGCCGATCCCGTGCATACGCGCACGTACTAGTCTCATATAGGACAATGTAGATAGTTATAGTAGTTTGTAGTATATTCTAGTTACATATGTTTGTAGTATATAAGGGGGACTGAGAGTCCCCGAATTCATTACCTTCTCACTCAACCACTACCCCTCGTACTCGCTGCTCCAACACTGTCTCTTTGTCTGGCCGATATGAATCAAAATATGTCGGTCACCTCAAAATTGAGAACCCAAGCTGAGCGGGGGATCGGGAAGAGAGCAACGTTGATATCATTCTTTGGAATCGAGTGGATTATTCCACATGCAGTTTCTTGATTTTCGGAGGGCCAACACTGATAACTTCGCAAGCTTTGTAAAATTCTTTGCAAGCCGGTTTTCCTTCAAACATTTTGGGCAGAACTACAACAAGTATATGATGAATTAGAACGAATGAATTCACTTTATGGGAATCTCTGCGTCTAGTTCGCGTGCACGTAAGGGTTGATGACCAAACCAGTCGTAGAGCCGGTGACAATATTTATGGTCTGCCTCGGAACAGCGTAAATCGTTCTCTGTGTGGAGACAGGGGTATACGCCGGAGGAGACAGACTGTCGTCGCTCATAACTCTGCTTCTGCCTCGTTCAAGAATGACGGTGGGAGGGCCGGTCACCCGTCGAGTGTCAGCGGGAGGGCCCATCGCTCGTCGAGTGTCAGTGGGAGGGCCGGTCACTCGTCGAGTGACAAGGGGAGGATCGACCCTTGAGCAGCAGCTCCTGATAAAATTGTGTCGAGTGACAGTGGGAGGGCCGGTCACCCGTCGAGTGTCAGCGGGAGGATCGGCCCTTGAGTAGCAGCTCCTGCTTGTGATAACATTGTGACGCCGTGGCGCAACGGTCGTTGCCCTGGGTATACTGAATGAAACGATCGTCTTTTGCCAGTGAAGGGACAAATTCTTCGACCGGTTCGTCCGTGCCACCAAGAAATTGAGGGAGTAGTGACCTCAGCCAAGCCACCATGGATCTGAGAGTCCTCCCGTTGAGCTCACGAGACAATATAGCATTGAAATCGCGTGTTCCTTGTGTTAAGATGGGAACATTGCCATTAATTTTCTGTTGAGTTTTGAGGTTGAAATTGACAACATACGGATGACTGTAAGAAAGGGACCACTCTCGCCGCCATCTTCCCAGGTTAGCAATGCCCCGTCGATGATTTGTGTCATTGTCCATGAATCCCCCGGTCCTATACAATGACAGGTGAAGTAAGGGAGCCGGAAGAGCTCATGCCAATTGTCGTCGCCACACTCTGCGTTTTGCCACTTAAGATTTCGGTCTCCTTTGGTTATTATCTGAAAAGTAAAGGTGGTTAACGACAATTGATAAATAAACCATGGTTAGGCAACTACCGTGAAACAGCCTTGTTCGAAATCAAGAGGGAGTTGACCCGCACAGAACCCACGCTCAAATTCGAATGTGAAAGCCGAGCTTGATAGATACTGAACATTCTCAGCATACAGTTCTTTCGTTTGGCGAACCACAACCCTGCCAATGTAATCTTAACATAATACTTGGAGCAATGATACAAACTGACCTTATCGGTGCCATTGTTGACTGGGAAAGGCGCTATGTAACTGTTGGCTTGCATAGCATCTCCCGGGGGCCTTTATAGCAAGATAGGAGGTACCGTCGGAGCTTGGTTGAACGCGAAAAAATAGGAGATTCATAATGGGAAGTGAAGGTTGAGTGGAGGAGGAGATGCCGAAAAACATGAGAGCACAGGTCAAAATTTCCCAAACATTTTTAGGCACAACTATAACAAGTATATGATTAATTAAAAACAATGATTGAATTCACTTTATGAGAATCTCTGCGTCTAGTTAGCGTGCACGTAAGGGTTGATCATCAAACCAGTGGTGGAGCTGGTGACAATATTGATGGTCTGCCCCGGAACAGCGTGAATCGTTCTCTGTGTGGAAACAGGGGTATACGCTGGAGGAAGCAGACTGTTGTCACTCATAACTCTGCTTCTGCCTCGTTGAGTGACGGTGGGAGGGCCAGTCACCCGTCGGGTGCCAGCGGGAGGGCCGGTCACTCGTCGAGTGACAGTGGGAGGATCGGCCCTGCTACTGATAAAATTGGGAGGGTTGGTCACCCGTCGAGTGTCAGCGGGAGGGCCGGTCACTCGTCGAGTGTCAGTGGGAGGATCGGCCCTTGAGTAGCAGCTCCTGCTTGTGATAACATTGTGACGCCGTGGCGCAACGGTCGTTGCCCTGGGTATACTGATGTATTTGGAATATTCAGGAATGAAACCATCGTCTTTTGCCAGTGAAGGGACAAATTCTTTGACCGGTTCGTCCTTGCCACCAAGAAATTGAGGGAGTAATGACCTCAGCCAAGCCACCATGGATCTGAGAGTTCTCCAGCTGAACTCACGAGACAATATAGCGTTGAAATCTTCTGTTACTTGTGTTAAGATGGGAACATTGCCATCAACGTCCTGTTGGGTTTGAAGACTGATATTGACGACATACGGATGACTGTAAGAAAGGGACCACTCTCGCCACATTCTTCCCAGGTTAGCAATCCCCGGTCGATGATTTGTCTCATTGTCCATGAATGCCTCGGTCCTATACAATGGCAGGTGAAGTAAGGGAGCCGGAAGAGCTCATGCCACTTGTCGTCACCACACTCTGCGGTTTCCCATTCAAGATTTCGGTCTCCTTTGGTTATTATCTGAAAAGTAACGGTAGTTAACGACAATTGATAAACAGACCATGGGTAGCCAACTACCGTGAAACAGCCTTGCTCAAAATCAAGAGGGAGTTGACCCGCACAGAACCCATGCTCAAATTCGAATGTGAAAGCCGAGCTTGATAGATACTGAACATTCTCAGCATACATGTCTGTTGTTTGGCGAACCGTAACCCTGCCAATATAATCTTGGGATAATACTTGAAGCAATGATACAAACTGACCTTATCGGTGCCATTGTTGACTGGGAAAGGCGCTATTTTGGCTTACATAGCATCTCTCGGGGGCCTTTATAGCATGATAGGAGGTACTGTCGGAGCTTGGTTGAACGCGAAAAAAATAGGAGATTCAGAATGGGATACTAGTAGTAGGAGGAGCAAACTTGATGGATGCCGAAATACATGAGAGTGGCCATTATTTGATCGCCGGACGCGACGCGTTCAAGTTTCCAGTGTGACTCCTCGCACCATCACTGCGATGTCCTCAGCAGGAGGCTCACCGCCGCCTCCGTCGCACGACATCCAGAGCCAACGTCAGTTCACAAGTTGAATTATGCCTTAAAGAAAGAGTCACGCTGACCATCAAAAAGTCCCAGAAGACACCATAAAGATCCTACTTGCAACAGACAACCACATCGGTTATCTGGAACGAGACCCCATTCGTGGACAAGATTCCATAAATACGTTTCAGGAGATTTTGCAGTTGGGGAAAAAACACGACGTTTGTTTACTTCCTTTCTTCCCAACTTCACGAGATCCCGAGCTCACGTCCAGCTATGCAGGTCGACTTTGTCCTCCTCGCTGGAGACTTGTTTCACGAGAACAAGCCTTCCCGGGACTGTCTTTACAAGACCATCGCGCTTCTGCGGGAGTACACGTTAGGTGACAAACCTATACAAGTAGAGCTGTTAAGTGATCCTGAAGAAGGAAAGGCTGACGGTTTCTCGTACGTTTTTCTCACTCTTTTCCTCTATAGCATCGCATCTCATTGACACAATTCAGGTTTCCCGCTATTAACTACGAAGACCCCAATTTCAACGTTGCAATTCCCGTCTTTTCGATTCACGGCAACCACGATGATCCTCAAGGCGCGGGAGCGGTAAGCCGATCCCATCCTGCACACTTGGCTTTCTATAACTCAACCACTTACCTACAGGAAGGTGCATTATGTGCCCTTGACGTTCTCTCCGTATCAGGACTACTAAACTACATGGGAAAAATCGATCTCCCCGTCTCAGACGCCGACGCTCGTACAACGGGTATTGCTGTCCGGCCTGTTCTCCTCCGTAAAGGAAGGACCCAACTTGGCATGTACGGAATCGGGAACGTCAAGGATCAAAGGATGCATTTTGAGCTTCGAAGCAATCGTGTGCGAATGTACATGCCGAAAGATAAAGACAAATGGTTTAATATTCTGTTGCTGCACCAGAATCGGTACGCATTTTTTTTTCACCTGTCAGGGATATATTCGGACGTTCTTTTAACAGCGTGAAGCATGGTCCTCAAGAATTTGTTCCGGAAGGAATGTTTGACGATAGTGTGGACCTGGTTATTTGGGGACACGAACACGACTGCCGAATCGTCCCTGAACCAGTAGCGGGGAAGAAATACTACATAACTCAACCTGGGTCTTCTGTTGCGACATCTCTGGCGGATGGTGAAGCCATCGAAAAGTATGTTCTCTTTCGTCTGGGGCTTCAAGATTCTAACCGACGAAAAAGACATGTAGCCTTGCTGGAAGTTCAGGGGAAGGAATTCAAGATGACGCCTATACCACTGCGGACGGTCCGACCGTTTGTTATCGAAGAAGTCGTTTTGAACGAGGTGGCAGAAGAGGAAGGACTCAACCTTAATGATCAAATGGAAATTACGAAGTACCTCAAGGGAAAAGTAGTCGTTTTTCCCCTTGATTGTACAACTTTCTGATAATGGACAGGTGAACGCTCTTATTGACGAAGCGAATGAACAGTGGGACGAACGAAACGCTAGAGCAGCAGAAGCCGGTGAACCAGAAGTCCCAAGGATGCTTCCTCTTGTTCGTCTAAAGGTGGGTGATCTTTTCTTTTCCAAGATATCTATCAACTTCAAAACCAACTAACTCAAAAATTCAGGTCGACACAACAGGTGTCACGGAAACCTCCAACCCCATCCGTTTCGGGCAAGAATTCCAAGGCCGCATCGCCAACCCACGAGACCTCCTCGTCTTCCACCGGTCCAAAAAGTCAGCTAGCCGAACTACAAAAGTCGCCATCGACCAGCCCGAACTGAGTATCGACGATCCCGAGTTGAGCGTCACGGAGAAATTGGCAAAGGTCCGGGTGGCGACGCTCGTGAAGGAGTATTTGACTGCGCAGGAGTTGCAGTTGTTGGGTGAGAATGGGATGTCGGATGCTATTCAGATGTTTGTTGAGAAGGATGATATCCATGCGATTCATACGTGAGTCTGCGTTTGTTCATGGTTTTTGTGCTAGGAGTGGGTGTTGATACTGATGATATTGTAGGCATGTAACGAAGGCGCTCAAGAGCCTGATGAAGAGCGTCGAGGCCGATGAGGGGGTTGACGAGGATGAATTGGAGGATTTGGTTCGCAATTCTTCTTTGTCGAGCGTGGTTCATCGATGAAGAAGCGTAAAGTTAGTCAAGGCTAAAGAGCAACACGAACAAGAGTACATCGAGAAGGCCAAAGAGAACAAAGCCAAAGGAAAGGTCCGTCGCCACTTTGAATCTTTCTCGAATCAAAAGGCATATACGTTTGTTACAGGGGAAAGCAAAAGCCATCGAATCTGGCTCGGAGGACTCCATGCTCATGGACGTCGACGCTGGTGCCAATTCTAATTTTGACGACATTGATTCCGACGAGCCCGAACCTCCCAAAAAGAAAGCTGCCGCCGCTGCTACCAAAGCGAAGAAAGCACCAGCCAAGGCACCGGCGAAGAAAGCACCAGCGAAGAAAGCACCTGCAAAGGGTCGTGGAAAGAAGGTGGCTGTTGTATGTACCAGCACTCTTTTCCGGTCTGTGATTCATGACTGTTTCATTTGGACTCGAACAGAGTGACTCTGACGAAGTGATTGATCTTGGTGATTCTGATGACGAGGAAGAAGAGGCGCCTAAGCCTGCTACGAAGAAGACGAACAGAGCTGCTGTGTTAAGGTGATCTGATCTCGTTCATTTCCTTCGAGGAGTTCTCATGGCGTATCACCCTTCCCCCTTTCAAGTCAATCAACGAAAAAGGCTCCAGCGAAGAAGAAAGCGACTGCTGCGCCAGCGAAGCAGAACCAGCTGACATTTGCACCTGCCGGTCGGTCGTCGCGTGCTGCTGCTACGAAAGCTAGAGGGAAGATGGTGGTTAGTTTCGTTTTTATGTTTCAATGAGGTATATTGTTGACTTGGAACGGTATAGGTTGATGATGATGACGACGATGAGAGTGATTGATCTCCTAAATAAGTACCATGTGCATAACTTTGCTGTCTATCTAATTGCGCTCGATATGTTGTCGTCATGCTAATCGATTTCCTTGTTCTTTCGTGCACGGAAGGACAGGCTTGTGCACTCTGACGCCATTTTCATTGTGTGCGGCTCTACCATGCCTCGTTGAAAGGTTTTAATCCACAAGAGATAGATCGTTGCCCATCTCATCTGAGAAGGACAAGGATATGCAACCATGCTCTTTTGTAAGCCTTCGCAACGTTTCCGCAGAAGCGGAAAGCGAGACGCGCTGGCTAGGAGGTACATCCACGATATTGATATTAAACACCGCCGGTCTCGCAACACGATTAAAGTTTTCCTCAGATCGCAATCCTAACCCTTCATCGTTGTCCTCCGCCATGCGATATCGCATCTTGATCATATCCACAAGCGTTCCAAGCTCGAATTGCATCCGTCCGTTGTAATAAAGGTCGCGAAGGTTGGGCAAGAGAATTTGAGCTGCAGGCAGATGTTGGGGAAGGCGTTGCGGCCTAGCTGGGTTTAAATGATCGAGAACGAGATCGGATATCCCTTCCACTTTGCAAATTAGTTCTAGTTTCTCCAACTTCTCTGTAACGGAAAGTAGAGCGATCAGCGAAGGCTCGTTCTGGCGCGTATACTGCACCAAATTGAGTGAAAGCTCACAAAGTGAGCATGAGGATCGAGAGAGGAAGTGCCGTACAGCCATCAAAGGCTCCGTGCCCGAAACTCCATCAAATTGAAGCTGCATCCGAGAGAGAAGAGGGGCTGTGATGCGGTCTAAAATTGTCAAAACCGGACTATATGCCTCGGTACTCTGTGGGCATGCTGCACTAAAGCTTGACAAGCAGGGAAGTGTAAAGGCGGCCAAAGTGGCACCGAAGGCAAATTGTGGTTTCAAGTCAGGGAGGGCACAGTGCACAAGGTTACGTGCGCATGCTGATAAAATGTCTAGGCAATCTCGCCAAACAATTGACTCCAAGGTAAGGTGAGTGAGTTGATGCCAGATTAGCCCCGGTATAAATATTTCCCCACTGTACACCGTCATATATACGTTTCGAAGCAGTGGCGCATCCGAAATTTGCCTTTGCCGGCTGGACCCCCCGGCTGGGTGGATGTTGCCCGGTGGACCCACAGCAAGCGAGGTCAACAGAGGAAGGGAAAACTTTTCAAGTTGCTGCCAACAAGGATATACCAGGAATGTACTGACATGTAGCCAACGATGGGAGTATTTTGCAAGGAGGTCGAACACCTCTATTGGTGGGTTTCGCGCCCATTCTTCTGGATCGTCCTCCCATTCGTCAAGGTGTATGGAGAGTGGAAGATCTCCGGAGCGGGATAGCCATCCCTCCAGCAACGCCACTTGAACATGATATGTCTCTGCATTCCTCTGGAGATCAAGAAAGATGGTATTCCAACACCGAGGAGAAGCCCAAACTGTGTGTCGCCAATTTCGGCAAATCTTCCCCAAGTTGAATGGCGTTGTAGGCTGCCAGGACGTAACGAAATCATCCGGCTCACTGGCCGTGTAAACAGGACTACAAGCCATCATTGAGATCTCGGAGATAATCTCTGCAGGGAAAGAGAGAAATGGGTTTTTAGCATTAATCTGCTCTCGTAGCTCGCGCGATCGTTCAGACAAACGAGCGATGGCGGATTCAACTTCTAAGAGCTCTGACGTTGGATCGTCTGGTGACCAATCGACTAGAAGTCTTGCTAGGATTGATCCATAATCACATACCTTCAAAGACATGACTGTGTGGCACAAAGAACGTTGGATTGGACGCTGGTGGGGCACTGCCACTGGCACTCTTCTAGTCAACTTCTAGTTGCTCTTCTTCTCCCAGATTTTCACGATCTCGTTTATTTTCTTGGAGGAGTTTTGATGGCGTTTACCCGCCCCCATTTGAAGTCAACCAGCGAAAAAGGCTCCAGGGAGGAATAAAGCGAGTTGCTCAGTTCGAACGGTATAGGTTGATGATGATGATGACGACGAGAGAGCGATTGATCTTAGATTGATCTCTTGAGTAACATTTACATGACCTTGCTGTCCAGTTTGCACTCAGTATGTTGTCGTCATGCTAATCGATTTCTTCGTTCTTTCATGCACGGAAGGACAGGCTCGTAAACTCTGACTTTTGAAACCGTTTTCATTGCGTGCAGTGCCACCGTGGCTAAAAAGTTTCAACTATGTATATACTCTTGCCCTGCTCATCTCATCTGAGAAAGACAATGTTACGCCAGCATGCTCTTTTCTAAGTCTTCGCAACGTTTCCGCAGAAGCAGAAAGCGAGGCGCGCTTGCTGGGAACTACCTTCAAGATATTGATATTGAACACCGTCGGTTTCGCGACACGATTATGGTCTCCCTCAGATCGCAATCCTAAAGTTTTCCCACTGTCCTCCGCCATGCGATATCGCATGTCGATCATATCCACAAGAGTTCCAAGCTCGAATCCCATCAGCCCGATGTAATGAAAGTAGCGAAGGTTGGGCAAGAGAACCTGAGCTGCCGGCTGTTGCTTCCTCGCTGGGTTTAGATGATTGAGAATGAGATCAGATATACCTTCCTTTTGGCAAATCAGTTCTAGGTTCTCTAACTTCTCCGCATCCGCAAGTAGAGCGATCAGCGAAGGCTCGTTCTGCTGCATATACCGCGTATTGAGTGAAAGCTCACGGAGTACGCATGAGGATCGAGAGAGGAAAGCCCGTATAGCTGTTGAAGGCTCCGCGTCCGATCCAAGCTGCATCCGAGAAAGAACAGGGGCCGTGATGCAGTCCAAAAGTCTCAAAACCGGATTATGTATGTTTGAATACGCGCATCGTGCGCTAAAGCTTGACAAGCGGGGAAGTGTAAAGGCGGCCGGAGATGTACTGTGAACAGGTCCTGGTTTCAATTCATCGAGGGCACAATGTACAAGCTTTGTTGCGCATTCTGATAGAATGGACAGGCAATCTTGCCAATCCATGAACTGCAAGGTGATTTGAGTGAGTTGATGCGTTGGGAGTGCTATTTCATTTCTGAACGATGTGATACATGCGTTTCGAAGCAGTGGCGCATCCGAAATTCGCCAGTTGGCCTTAGACCCTGCATCTTGCCCGATCATTGGAGGATGCACAGCAAGCGATGTCAACCGAGGAAGGGAAAACTTTTCAAGTTGCTTCCAACAAGGATCTACAAGGAACGTGCTGACATGTAGCCAACGATGGGAGTATCTTGCAAGAAGGTCGAACACCTCCGTTGGAGGGTTTCGCGTCCATTGTTGTGGTTCGTCCTCCAATTCGAGGTGTATGCAGAGAGGAAGATCTCCGGAGCGGGATAGCCAGCCCTCTAGCAGTGCCACTTGAAGTTGATATGTCTCTGCATTCCTCCGAAGCTCAAGAAAGATGCTATTCCAACACCGAGGAGAGGCCCAAACTGTGTGTCGCCAAGTTCGGCAAGTCTTGCCCAAGTTAAATGGTGTTGTAAGCTGCCTAGACACCACGAAATCATCCGGCTCACTGGCCGTGTAAACAGGAGTACAAGCCATCATTGAGATCTCGGAAATAATTTCTGCAGGGAGGGACAAGAAGGGGGTTTTAGCATTGATTTGTTCTCGTAGCTCGCGCGATCGTTCCGACAAACGAGCGATGGCGGAGTCAACTTCTAAAAGCTGTGACGTTGAATCGTCTGGTGACCAGTCGACTAGAAGTCTTTCGAGGATTGATCCATAACCACAAAATTTCAAAGACATGCTCTGGGTCGCACAAAAGTTGGGCTGGACGCTTGTCGTACTTGTCTCAGATTCCGATGGTGTTGCCAAACAGGACCACTGAGAAGCACTGCCACTCCTCCGCGTCCCTTGAATTCTTATTGTCATGCCAGTTTCCCTCCCAACAGAGCTCCTTATTGATATCTTGACTTTTGCTCTTCCCCTTCATCCGGGGCCAGCTGACATCCTTCGAACATCGTCCCAAATTTTCACGCTCGCCTTCCACATACTGTATACTCACCTCCGCTTTACATCGACCCGGCAACTTGCCCTATTTTTGAGCACCTTTGAAGACCACTCATTGCGATGCGCGCCGCGCAGCATTGACTGTGACATAGACGTTGAGAATAATGCGACAAGCGACGTCTTTCAGCTTATGTGCTCACTTTTTACCCGCTGCAGTGCCGTTCCAACAGCTGAAGTCGATGATGAAGGGCGGCTTGTAGTGGACTTACTTCGTCTGCGAATGAATTCTCACGCGCAGGACCCAAACATCTATATGGTGTACGAGGCTCTTTCGCAAATCAAGTACGTTGCGCAAGTTGGTTCTGAAGTTAGACAGTGGTTTGACGAGTCCTTCTGACAGCCCACGTCGGTTCACTTGGGTAGGCCCTGCTCCTCCTCACCATTTCTCCATCGCAGTAGGTTATACACCTACCAACGCTCCAGGCGACTCACTTCGCATCCAGATTGTCCCGCAGGCCGTCCCGCCCCTCTTTCGAGCACTCTCGGGGCACTCGAACCTCGTAGAACTCAAATTGACGCACATCGGCTTTCCGAGTCCCAAGTCTGATCCTGAGTCGGATCCTTTTGAGCTGGTGCCACCACATATCCCCAGTCTGAGGGTGTTTTACCTTGGACAAGCGACGTTTGTGTCTCCCTACACAATCGCCAGCTTCATTGGAGCAGTTCAATCGTCACCGAATAATCTCCAGACAGTCAGGCTCGTTGACGTCTACAAGGGAAGCATCTGGGGTCTTCGTCTTCGACTGTCTGATGTAGAAGAGGCAGCGATGATGCTTGCTTTACTCAGTCTTCGTCCGGAAGGGCTGCTCCACAGGAAAGAGCTCGTCATTGCGGCGCTTGAAATGGTTCGTCGGGTTGTTATATGTGAGGCGCAGACCGAGCGTATCATTGGAGGGGATCGCGACGAAGACAACACGCTCATGGTTACTTTACTAGCTAAGCTTGAAAGTTTGGATTTGTGAAAATGGAATACGTGAGGTATGCATGGCCTGGGTATGAGGTCTCCGGCTAGAAGTCTAACAACAGCAGCATGGCGCAGTTGGAAGCGCGCGGGGCCCATAACCCCGAGGTCACTCGATCGAAACGAGTTGCTGCTAAACATTTTGCAATTTTGGAATTCCGGGTCCAAATTGACTCAAAGCACAAGATCGGTAAATCCTTCATTTTTTGGTCAATAAAATTTGCTTCGATTCAGAAGACTCCTTTGTGTAGGTAACGTTTGAAGTCAGTGGTCTGTTCAATTTAAAATACAGCGTACAAAATTTCAACCCAACGGTGCTTGACAAAGATCATGCATGAGCAGCAAAGGTAGCGGATATAACATTGAAAACATTGTGTTTACATTAGTGGGTAATTAAATGTACTGTAGGGAAGAAAGCACAGAAAGAACAACGCCAGAACAATTATGTACAAGTTGCGAATTAAGCCGTATGAGAGAGAGATCCATCCCAGTCCTGAAAAAAGAAAGAAGAAAACGATTATCAACCAACGTACAGACGCTTATCCCCTAGATCGTCCGTCCGTGTGCATCATTACATCGCACCCCACTGCTGCGCGCCAAGCGGAGCCTGATAACTACTTGCGCTGTACATCTGTCCTCCAGCGTAGGCACTATTATATTGGGCCGGGGACGACATCTGCTGAGGAAGAGCCTGCAAGGATTGTCCTGGCGCCTGCTGTTGCGGTACTTGGTTCCAGGCCAGGAAGTAGTTATGACCATACGATGGGGTAGACATTGTCGACATTTGTTGTTGACCGTTTGCCAGCGTCTGCGTCTGCTGCTGCTGCTGCCCATGCGACATGCCCGTCATTATTGATGACGGTGAAGATGAGAACTGCCTTTGTGGCTGCTGCTGCATCTGTAACTGCGGTTGTGGACTATGTGAAAGGAGCTGCTGGTTGGGACTGGGAGAGAGGAACTGTTGGGCAGGGCTCGGCGTCATGAACTGCGACTGGCTAGCAGGGGCGGACATGAAAGTTTGGGAAGACGTAAGGAATGACCGGTTTTGTGGGATCTGAACCTGAAGTGTTGACTGAGGCTGAGGGTGGAAGACTTGCCCTTGGGAAGAAGCGCTGAAGGTACCTGACGGTTGTTGACCCATAAAGTATTGCTGGCCGTAAGACTGGGGTTGTGTGAACGTCGTCGATGCAGCAAAGGCAGATTGGGGCTGAGAGTAAGGATTGCTATCTGCAAATGATTGCTGTTGGAAAGTAGCTGTGCTCATTCCAGTCGTCATTCCGTTAGAATAGCCGTTGGTCCCGTATGGGGTTTGTGAGACGGCTGTCAAACCCTGGGAAAAGGCTGGCAGGGCGGCTTGTTGCTGCTGGTATTGAAGAGGCAATGAAGACGATGACGCAGGCACCGCCTGAAGTGCGACGAGGTCATCCCAGACGCCACCTTGTGGTGTCCCGCTTTGAACCTGTGTCTGCTGAGTTTGGTGAACGATAGGCTGAGATACGGAACGTTGCGGGGTGGGTCTTGCGCCATCAAAGGGAGCCTTATCAGAAGGTTGTGCAGGCGATAACGAAGCCGTTGACTGTTTCATATGGGCAGGTAGTGCACTGGCAGTGGTAGCGGATACAGCAGCAGTGGATGGACTTGAAGTACGGGGAAGGTTTGTGATGGGAGAAGAAACAGATCTTGAGGTGACCATGGACGCCGATCGCGAAGGACCAAGTTTTGATGCCACCAGCGCCGATTTATCAATGAATCGCCGGTACTCGTATTTAGCTGCATTCTGAGATTAAGACAAAACTATTATGCTAAGAAGAGGCGTACTTACACCTGATGTATTGTTCAAGCTCGCTATCCCGTTCGGTGTCCTCCAAATTTGGTGGCGGAGGGTTGCGTATTTCGTTTGGGTTGTATATCGAGTTGGATTTAGAATTGCCCATGGCTCTCATACTCTGACGTCAAGTCCAAGATTAGACCAGCATAACAGTTGAGATGAGGTATAACGTACATCAACCTGATCCTTCGTCCACGAGTCCATGGTCAAGCTCTTCCTATCCAAACACACGACAGTCACCTCTCTTGAATCAAAATCAATTTAAGAAACGACATACACTTTCGTGATATGGGTTCCAATCTTTCTGTGGATGCTGGCGCAATTGACACTACAACCCTATGAGGTGGCTGGCCTAAGTTTGCGCATTGGATAGGAGACACACCATATAAAAATTCCAAGATTATGAGAAGCCCATCGAGGATGCCGAGCCTTGCAATCCGCACAAAGGTCTGCAAACCACGTTCCCAGACGTCAAGGACGATCCCACCAACGATTGAACGATTACTCACCGTTTCCTGGCTTTGTTGCAAGTTCGAGCACAGCCCGTTGATTCCGATCTGTCGTCAACTTGTTCTGGCTTGACATCGATCCCGTTTGATTTGAAGAGGCGGGAAGAGACGATGAAGGGGGCTTTTGTGACTAGGCCACTCCAGGTAACGCGGTCATTTTTGTGCTGCTCATCATATGTTTGTCAAAGCCATCCCATGTAAACACAAACTTGTCAAGGGCTTCATCGACGTATCTGGCGGAGTACGAGCACGGCTGGGATGGACATTCTCCGAGCATTCTTCAAGGCGCCTTACTCGACGGGGAGGTATCAGTTTCAAATCGCGACTGTCGAGCATCCCTGCACTCTTCTGCCGAGCGGCGTCGCTATAAATAAATGTCACGTTCATTGTGCGGTTCAACCAACAACCAGACAGAAATTTGTATGCGAAAGGCAGCTGGGTTCAACTCTAAGTTGTTCAAGAGCTGTAAGTTCTGCGTAAAAGAAATTTGTTCTCATGACTCGTCATCGCAGTGTCGTCCAACGGTACACCTAGATGACAGTCTTGGTCCATTCCTCTACGGTAGCCTCGTCATGATACAAACCCGAAGCTTCGTCAAAACACCAGTCATAAGCCGGACCACCCATCAGCGCATTCCCGTATGCCACTCGTGCCTTCAAGTCCATACCTCTGTGCCTTAGCTTTGGAAATGCTGGAGTCCTTGATGACACCCAGGCGGTGGATTGTGAATGCTCATCCTGTCCTGCTCCTTGCCGCCTACTAGGATATTTACCAGCACGTTCTGCAGCAAGAAATTTCTCCCCCTTTGAGCCTTTTGCTGGTACTGGTTTCCAGTAAAGGAGATCCACCAATTCTATCGTTCGATGGATGAGTCCCATGACATCGTCTGGGAGGGTTGAGACGGATCATTTCAACATATCGCCTGAACTTGATCTGAGCATTTAAAATCACCAGAAACACATTTACTTGAATTTGGCGATTTTTAATAAAATGGTGGAAGGGTGGAAAACGAGGGCTAGTAGGATCCACTGATTCACGGATGCAACGGTCACTGGCCGCTACATAGTCTCTGGACGTTGAGGAGGAGTGATCATACAGGGTGAGCTTGCTGCCACAAGGAAGGAAGTGCTCTGGATGCAATGCCACCAGTTCAAACTCTGGATTGAGGAAACTTTCGTCATTGAACTAATCACAAAGAATATTATTGTGTTAGATTTATAATGGATGGAGTGAATGGTACCAACATCCAGTTCACGCCGATAGTGACTGCCTGTTTCGTCCATCAATTGCTGCTGGCGCTGGTTTTCGGATTGAACAATCTTAAAAAGGCCATCCAGGGTTGAGGCAGAGGCAGTCACCCCGATGAAAGCATATATGTTGAGAGATGTGTGAACAAACTCCTCTACTGTTAGAAAGGTGAGATAACATCGGATTGGACTAAACTTGCCCTCACAATATATGACATTTCCTGGATGACTGAACTCAAATTCATCTGTCATAATTCTGAGCTCATCAATAAGTCTTTCCTGCAAGAAAACCAATCAGACACAGCAGGAAATGATGTAGACAAATGTTTAAGGGCTTACAACTTCAATTGAAGAACTTTCACCCTCATCATAAAGAGCAGCCTGGACAAAGTGCATATATCGATGTGTATATTTTATGGACTTTGTCACCGTGCAGCCTTCAGCAAGGTCAGTACCAAAGCCGCCACTCTCAGAGTTTTGTAAGGAGGATGCTGAGGAGACTGAGCCAGGTAGACGGGGAATTTCTGGTAGATTCAATAGAGGAGGCACTGTCGCAAATTGTTGGACAGAGACACGATAACCCTTCGTTATCAGTGACATGTTCAAGAAGCCTGAGGGTGGTTCGCCTGAACGATGAAAAAGATGATGCCGAAGTCTCAAGTTATGTAAACCGGAATTACTGTGTTCGCGCAGTCGGCAGTTTATCCAGAATGAATGTTCTATTCCAAGCTGTTCCTACTACTCGACAGCAGCGCATCAATTCAATCCACGACAGTCGAGCATCCCGAGCGGTATCGCTATAAATAAATGTCACGTTCAAGCGTCTACGAGGAGGTCGGAGAGTGCATTCTCACCATAAATCAGAGAACAGTTACAAGCTATAACCCAAAATATTTATTGTACATTGCCGGCGAGTACTTCCCCTTATTCTGCTTTAGCTTTAGGCTGAGGTGTGGAAGCCCTGTTGCTGAGAACGACAATGAGGCTATGACAAGCGAAGAACGCCGCGGACAAGGTCATCGCTAATCCTTGGATCGCCAATCGGATGGTGGCGAAAGCGAATCGAAGGCTAGCGAACGCGATTTGAATAAGCGATAAGAGGATTTGAAGCGAGGATTGGACCACGTGGATCATTTGCATCCAAGGGATGCTGGTGATCAGCCTGATTATTTGTGAGCCCGTCTTGCGGAATGGTATCTGGAAAAATTTCCGGGCAGCGATAGAGGAATGCACTTTGATTGTGTTTTGCACGTTCGGAACCTGACTCTTCACATCGGAGAAGGCCTGGGTGGCGATGCTAGACCAATCCCCTCTGGGATGACCTTGTGTTTTGCGAACCCAATCGGCGGCGTACAAAATGACGTTGATAACGATTTTTATGGATATGAATAGAGTTGTCGAGACGATCGCGAGGGGAATCGATACGCCGGTTATCATCAATAGCTTGAAAATAACTGCCAGTATGTGTGGTGAGAGGAGAAGTAAAAAGTCCACAGTTAAACACATACGCGTTACAAAAATTTTGACGACGAAGAACAAGGCACCAGCCGCCAACTTTCCGAATGCCCAAAGACATACGACAGAGGTAAAAAAGACACTAATTGCAACAATCAATCGTGTTTTCCACAAAAACCTATGGGATAAAAACGTACAAGAATGTGGAGGCGAGGGTGATGCCAAGAATCAAAGGGGTGGTGATGTATGCCTGAATATAAACGCGGTGTAAGGGCTCAACATTGGACGTATTCGCGACATGTACTCACGGCGAGGGAATCATTGAGGCGAAGAGTTTCGGTAACCAACTTGACGGCTGGACGGGCAAAGTCCTGCTCATATCTAAGCTCAAATTTAGTCGACGAGATGTAGATGATAAAGTCATTCCTCTCACAGATCAACATATTGGCGCATATTGGTGATGCTGTCTGCATTCCCCTGAACCTCGCTTGTCGAGTCAGGGATAGTTTCTTCTTGATCAGAATTAGGGTTTACGGTAGAACCGAGGGGTGTTGGGAAGTCGATTGTTTCCGGTAATTCCATGGGGGAGGTGTTGGCCATTTGTTTGGAAGTTGGTGGGAGGAATGGGTTTTTCTTTGCGACTTGATCCCTTAAGTACAGCCAGCGAATAGATAATAATGTCGACTTTCCAAAGTCGACACGTTGACAGGTCACCAGCCGCAGCCCGCATGCAAGAGACACGTATGTCAAAGATTTAGCGCCCTGGTGATCTGCGCCGCAGTCAAGGGAAAAGATCACAGGCTTGCTTTGGTATATTACAGATCACATACATCGAGGTGGCTTCGCGCCTCGGTAAATAAGAGGGTGATTGGGATCTTGATAGGCAACTTGAGGGGAAAGTCGAGTCGGGAAGGTGATTGCTGCCTCGAATGACGGCGCGCCCAAGACGCGCTCAAACTTCTATGACCCCATCTGGCATTTGAGAAACAGGTTTATACGTTTGCTGTCAGGCTAGCAATGCTACTAGTAGCCATGGTGCAACCGAAAGTCGATCCAGTCCTACTTGCCGGGTGAATTTGAGTTCCACAACCGCCTCCCTGCAGGCAGATTTAACACGTACAGCGTGCATGCGTATGAGGTGATGGTAGCCTGAAGAAAGCCTGATTAAGTACGATCCTGAAGGAGCAGTCCCGAAATAATCGCAAAGTCACTGGTGACTGGGTTATACGTAAAAGAAAAGGAGAAACAAGGACAATGTTGAAATACATCACGTGATCGTTTATATTGCTGGACGCGACGCCGCATGGCCTTAATTACAACCACCCATCTTTCTCAGCTCTCCTGCTGCCCCAGAAACTATGCCCGTGGAACATATGTGAGTTTACTGCAACACTATATCGCCTTTTCTGACTGTAACCTTCGTTCAGTCGGAGGCGGATGATGGAGGATACCAGCCTCTACCCAGAATTTGGAGGACCGCGAAAGGCGAGAGAGCCCGTCCAGAGCATCGTAAGCAAGGCACCCATCATTCAAAATCCAGCCCTTGACGTGAATATAGTCGATAGCATCTACGAGCTCAAGCAGCTCCTCAGTGGCAGCTCCAGTTCGCAACCACGTGCCAAAGCCAGGCGCGGTCATCATTTCTTCTGACGAAGAGGACCAGTTGGATGATGATGATGTTGTTGAGATTATTAAGTGGGAATCCCCGTTACATTGTAATCAACGCGTAACTCACTTTTGTGTTCTGATAGCGAGTCCAACAAGCCGTCGAAACCGAACACAGCTGTTCACCCTGTCGCCACGAATATGGTTCAACAGCAGGAAAATAGACCGACTCTTCCGCCCAAGTTCCCAGTACCAGTACACTATGCACCCGGGGCCGCAATACCTGCACTCCCCATGCCCAAGAACGTCGGAATTCCGATTGCCATCCCTACATACAAAGACATTCCCCGATTTCCTCAGCCTTCAGTCCCGCAGAAAGACAGCGGAGAAGATGGCGAAGAGGTACATATGCCAGAACTCCGCGAAGAATACGGCATGATGTCGTCGTCGGACGCTGAAAAGGCTTTACGGGATCTCATGGGCGGTGCTATGAACGATGACGTTGAGACCGAGGTTGATATGGACGAGGCTATCGTTGAAGGCTTCCAAGACGGTATTGCGCTCTTGCCACATCAAATTCTGGGACGCACGTGGATGCGAGATCGTGAGGATCTCACGAGAAAGCGCACTGGAGGGATTCTCGCTGATGACATGGGGTATATACAACTCATTTTCAATGAGGATTTGGTTCTAATTTGTTGCAGGCTTGGAAAAACCATTCAGACTTTGACTAGAATCGTTGAAGGCCGGCCTCACAAGTCAGACAAGGAGGATGGCTGGAGTGCAACCACTCTGTTCGTTGTTATTACCTTTCAAAGTGACTTTTCATATCAACTAACATTGACAGTGTTGTTTGCCCTCTGGCCCTTGTTGGCCAATGGGCTGACGAGATTCAGAAGATGACAAAACTCTCTGTTCTGAAACATCATGGAGCTAATCGGACCACTGGTAGGCAACTAATGAGCACGATATTTAAAGGTTTATGCCGATTTTCCTTTGCAGATCCCTCTGTGCTTAGAAAATACAGGGTCGTTGTAACAACGTACGACACTGTCAAGTCCGAGTATGAGTCCCATAGCCCCTCAGCGAAGGATGAATCGGCCGCCAAGAAAAAGACGGCGAAGAAGGCAGCTGTGGACTCTAGCGACCATTCCGAGCACGAAACATTTGGTCGAACCATCAAAAAACCTGCCAAAAAGACAGCTGTCAAGAAATGTGCTCTTTATGGTGTGCAATGGTGGCGCGTTGTTCTAGGTGAGGTCTTTGATCTCCTCCCTTTGACTGGCTGACACCATATCGTATGCAGATGAGGCCCACAACATCAAGAACGTGAAAACAAAGGGCGCTATCGCGTGCTGCGAACTACCGAGCAAGTTCAGATGGTGTCTTACCGGAACCCCGATGTGCGTTCCTACCATTGATTCATTTGCGAATCTTCCTTACATTCTCGATAGGCAAAACAATGTTACCGAGTTATACTCTCTGCTCAAGTTTCTCCGTATCAAGCCTTTGTCTAATTGGGATACGTTCAATACCCAAATTGCAAAGCCGGTTACTAGCGGACGGGGCGCTGGCCGTGCGATGAAACGATTGCAGGTATGTCTCTCCCCATTGATTACTCTTCAAACTCTAACACTTGAGCTTTCCCCAGGTTGTCTTGAAACAAGTTATGTTGAGGCGGAAAAAGGATGATTCCCTCAACGGACAAAAACTCATCGAGCTACCCCAGCGTCTCGTCAACATTGTTTCGTGTCCTTTCAATGCCTCAGAGAAAGCCTTCTACGATGGCCTCGAAAACAAGATGGAGCATGTCATTGAAAAAATCATGAACACTAAGGGTGGTAACAGCTATATCTCCGTCTTGCTACTCTTGCTTCGACTCCGCCAAGGTAAGTTGGTCCTGTGTCACTTCACGCTGAACTGAATGCCGTTTGAAGCGTGCAACCATCCACTCCTTGTCGCTAAGGATTATAAGAATGACATTGAGGCAGTTGAACCGACGTCAAACAAAGGAAAGGATGACAAGGACACCGACCCCGACGATCTCGCGGCCGCTTTCGGCCAACTCGGTGTGACTCGCAAATGCCAGATGTGTACCACGGTGTATGTCCGGGCATTCCTTCCTTTTATTATACCTCTGACGTGTATATACAGCCTTGATGATAGCAATACTGGAGAGGAGGAGTGGAAAACTCATTGCGTGGACTGCGTACCTTTAGCCATTCAAGCGAAAGAAGCTGAGGAGGAGCGGCCCTCGTCAGCCAAGACTCGCATGATATTGAAGCTCCTCAATGACATTGATGAGCGTTCAGACTGTGAGGAGAAAACTATCATTTTCTCCCAATTTACCAGTATGCTTGATCTCATTGAGCCCTTCTTGTCCGAGGAGGGCGTCAAATACGTTCGCTGTAAGTCATCTTCTTTCCTTGATGCCTGTCGGCTTATCTTTTGTCAGATGATGGTAGTATGTCGGCGAAGGAGCGTGAGGTCTCACTTGCGAAAATCAAAAGCAGCAAGTCGACCCGTGTTATCCTGATCTCGTTCAAAGCCGGAAGTACTGGTAGGTCAACTCGACATTTCTATTTCGTCTTTTTATCTCACCTCGCTGCTCCCAGGTCTCAATCTGACTGCATGCAACAACGTCATCTTGGTCGACCTCTGGTGGAATCCTGCACTAGAGGTTCGTCTACGTGAACAACCGTCAGATCTAGACACTGACCTACCTTGATAGGATCAAGCTTTCGATCGTGCTCATCGGTTTGGTCAAACACGCGATGTCAATATTTTCAAACTCAAGATTGATAATACCGTTGAAGATCGTATTCTTGCTGTATGTCCAATTTTTGTGGGGGGGAAGCCATGACGCTAACGATCTCGGTTCTCGGTAGCTTCAAGACAAGAAGCGCCAGCTGGCTCAGGCTGCATTGAGTGGTGACAAGATCAAGAACATGCGTCTTGGAATGGACGACCTTCTTGCCCTTTTCCGGCCTGGAGGAAGAGACGATGACGAGGAGGATTCCGACTGATCATAGATTTTGGTTAAACTCTCAAATTGGAGATCTTGCATGTCATCTATACCACAATCGCTATATCAACATTCTAGTCATGTTATTTCACCTGTAGGTTCTCAATGAGTTGAAATCAGTCCGCGGATCAGAGTAAGCCGTGAAATGATTAGAGATTCCCACGGGTGCAGGTTGGTTCGCCGAGATTCCTCCTGCCATCTTGAACTGTTTCTACTGTCTCTTTTCTCCCCTGACGCTGCTCGCAGCCGATAAAGTTCTCTAATCTTGGACATGGATTGTCAGTAACGGTGTCTTTCAGTAACCAATCATGTCGGAACAACCAGCAACTCTCGCCAAGTACTTGTCTATGGATTTGTGTTGTCTAACAGCCACTGACCCAACCTTGCGATGTTCCTTAGGGAGGCGAAAAGCATTCACCAGTCTTTGAAAGAGTTACTTAAGACCAAGGAGCCCTTCGATAGAGAGGTGGATTTCCAACGGAAGAAGTACGCATGATTCATTTCGGTTTGAATAGAATGGTTTGCTCACAAGCGCTTCAATTAGCCTCCGAAGGCGCTACCTAAATCTACTGCTTATCCACCCAAATGCAAAGGAGTCTAAGGACATCGAGAACCATCTATGGATGCAAACGTCTCATGCCTTCATCGCATCATATAAACAACGCATCGCTATACTCGATCGTGCCATTCAAAATAACGAACGTCAGCGGCAGCAGCAACAAAATGGGCACCCTCAACAACGTTCGAACAATCAGAACAACCACGGGCCAGTAGAGTATAGAAAACTTTTACAGAGATTTCGTCAGTTTTTGGCCGAAGAGGAGAGGTTTTGGACACAGCTTGTCTTACGGCTGCGCCGCTCTTTCGCTATCAACGAGGCCCAGCCTGCTCTTGTTGCCCTCGAATTGATTGCTGAGAGCGACGAATCCGCCGTCCAAACTCTTGAAGGCGGAGACGGGGTCGGAGCCACACCCAACGGTCGAAATCACTTCCAGTTCCCTCCCGAAGATCCAAATGTATCATTCGCCCCAACCACGCCTGCAGAACGGGAAAGTCACCTTGCTATCTTTAGTAAGGCTTTGGTTTGCTTGGGCGACATAGCTCGATATCGGGAGCAACAAAACGAAGGCGGGGGAAGGCCCAGAGCAGGACACGAAGATGGGCCTGCAAGAAGGGGCAGGAGCCGCCGTGGAGGCGCAGCGACCGCTGATATCGCACGGCCCAGGAACTACGATAAAGCACAACGGTGCTACGAGCAAGCCAGGTTGCTCGTCCCACATGAGGGCAATGCCTCACATCAACTTGCAATTCTTGCGTCGTATCAGAAGGATTCTTTCGCATCTCTTGTCCACTATTATCGTGCCCTGTGCGTTCGCCAACCATATGACACAGCCGCTGAAAACCTGGGAACTATTTTGAACAAGGTGTTGGAAACATGGAAAGCTCGAACTAGGAGAGAGCGCGAGAACAAGAATATGGCCGCAGACCAACAGATCGCACCTCGAGTACGGATCGAAACTTTCAAGGAGCGACTAGTGGTCCTTCATGCACTCTGGCGTGTTGGGTTGGAGAAGGGAATTGAAAAGTACGACGTTTTACTCTTATCAGTCTAAGCCTTACCGTGTCTCAGAATGGATTCCATTTCCAAGAAGCACGACAAAGTGGTATTCAACGACTTCCAGTCCCTCGTCGCTCAACGTCATCTCCCAACTGATATGATTTCAAGTGCTATCGTTCTTTCACAAGGCGCGCTATGGAAACTTCGAATGGTTCATGATACCCCCAGTCACAATCGAAAACAAGAAACCCGGCCCCCACCAGCTGGAACATTTGTTGTTCTGGAGTGGCGCATACTTAATCATCTCCTTGATCTTCATTGTGCCCTTTTGGAGGTTGGAAAGGATGAATTGAAAGACTTGCCACCTATGGATGCCGTCGACAACGATTTGGCACAAAGAATCAGTGCAACATTCAGACGGATGCTCCCCGCACTGAGAATTGCGAGCAAATGGCTCCAGGCGAACTTCAAGTACGTCATGCAGGATCGCGAATTTCAAGCCTTCCAGGAGAATGAGAAAGCTCAGGGCTTGGAGCCTAGCGCTAAGTCTTCACTCAAGCTCAGCGCGAAGTCGGGCAATACCATACGATTTTGGAAGGCTTACGCTCAATTCAATCTAGCATTGTCTCAGGCCTTTCCGATTCATAAAATCCCTCAATTGGCAGCACCTCTGGAGGAGGATGTTGAGATGAGGGGTTTTCTTCCTTTGAAGCAACTTATGGGTGAACAGAAAACCTTTGAGGATGGTGGAAAACCCACTGCACTTGGTCAAGTCCCAGAACAAGTTCATCCTAATGTGGAACAGTTGATGAGGATCCGGGACCTGTTGGATGATTCAATCCAACTGGCGCATGTCGAGGTTTGCTAGACCCCTCTTCCTGGAGACGTACTTACTAACCAGCATCTCAAGAATTCCCCGCTTATACTCATAAACAACCACATTCTCTTCAGAGCTGAAATTGTGGATGGTTCCCTTTCCCGTTCACACAGCGAGGCAACGGGACTTTCGGAGCTTTCAATCCCACCAGTTCCACTACACCAGCAACAGTTGCTTGCTGATATTAGAGACGCCCGTCTGGATGGACAGCCCGACGACGACAATATGACGGAGGGTACTGACGTTCTGCGTGAGGCATTCGACTTCTTACACACCGACCAACCCGAAGATGAGGATCAGGATGACGAAATCGTTTGGGATCCAAGGTTGCTAATTTTGTCCGACCATTTCTAATATATTGACTAATCGTTTTTCAGGGCCCCTGCTTCTCCTCCTACTATGTCGCCAATAATGCAAACAAGCCCCATAACCCCGGTGAAAGCAATGATGAGTCCAGGGCTCGCCCCTCGCTCACCCCCCCATCAGAAGACATCGTCTGCTCCAATCAATCAAACTATTGTTCCTGGCACCACTGCTCAAGATCTTCTTAATAACGTTATGGGTGTTAAACGCAGTGAAAGTGGCGGCTTAGTTCCTATTTCAGACCCACCTCCCCTGCAGAATTCACGTCTCCTACATCGACCCACTCAGTCAATTTGGTCTACCTCTCACGACGAGCAGCCTTTGAAGATGTTTTCGGGCAACGCATTGTCTTCACACCAAATTTACCAAACCCCGCAGTCGCAACATCGCACTTTCCCAGCCTCGTCCTCTCAGGACATGAGTCCGCCTATCTGGTCCTCCTCTTATCCGACGGCTAGTCAGAATTCACAACAAACATTTGTCGGTGCACTTCCTTCGGCTTCATTCGCGTTCCCACCGCAAACGGTCGTCACCAACGGACATCAGCGAATACCATCTGCGTCGGTAGCTGCCCAGCTCTTCCCAAGTCATGCCCAACATGATTTCTTTGGGTATGCTCCTCCCATACCCCAGGAGCCAATTCACCGCCCCGAGTCTCATGCTGCTTCCCCATCAGGGTTTATGAACCACTTTGGGCGTGGCAACGAAATCTACTATGACGGTCTCCAGCAACAGCAACACGTCTATCATACACAGCATCCTTCCATGCATGATCCCAGAGTGAAACCCGCATTTGTACCGCCCCCGATTTCACAAGTCTGGGGCAACGTTGGGTAAGGGAACTGGCTGCCCATTAGCTTCGTTGTTTCTGGCTTTATGGACGCAATCAACGGGATGGGTAAGTAATCCCATCCTTTGCGGAGCCGGTATTTCTCTTTCCGCACGCTCCCCCATTAAAATTTCCAACGCTCCTTCGCACCTCGTCGTGGATACATGCCGTTGATGGACCCCCTCATGGATGAAAGAAAGATTACAATTTGCGCACATAGTGTTAGCAAAAGTTTGCAGATGGGATCTCGCGACAGTACCACCTGTAATGGGTGAAACACGCGCAGGTGGCTGCCTGCCTTGGCTAACAAATCCTTGCCGCATTGGCGGGTCTCATGAACTCTCTCCTTCCTTGATTACTACTATTTTTTCCGTCTATTGCTTCTTCTGCATGCGCGCATTCTTTGTTGTACGGCCTACTTTCTTATGTACCTCTTCGCCTTTGCTGCTACGCTAGAACACGAAAAGATGTGTTTGCTGTTCGCATACGCGAAGTTGATGTCACTTTCGCTGCTCCTTGACTCGACTTACGCGAGATGAATGAAAATACATCTTGTTCTTCAAAATATCAAACCACCGCCTATCTATACATCCTGATACAACATGGTATATAACCTCTGTTAAAAACTGGAGATCATGGAAACATTTCAGTTGTAGTTCAAGCGCTGTTGCTCGTAACGATTTCCCAAGGTTTCTTCTTGCTAGGGGCAATTGATTCGCTCGGTGGGGCGTCCTAATGGAACGTTGGATCTGAATACGGGCAATATAACAGGATACGTACGTTCAACGCCTCTGAAATAACCTTATTATTGGGTATCTGGTCCATCTTGCCTGACTCGATTAACTCTTTCAGTTCAGCGAAGGTCAAGACGCGAATTTCTCCCTCTTCATTTGAATGAGAGGGTTCAGAAAATGCTTGAAAAGTTGAAGGCGCCTGACGGGTACGCTCATATTCCCTGGCTTCATCCATCGAAATCGAGCTGCCTGTTACCCTCCAAGATATCACTATTGGATGAACAACAAGAGATGGTAAGAAGATACCTGTTAAAGTAAAACACCCGTGTCCTTCGAAGCACCTCCTCTGGATCCGGATTCGTAGCTAGTGCATTTCCTGCGAGGATGCTTGCTAGGCCTTGCTTGCAAAACAATGACGATGAGCAGCTGTTCGTTCTGTTCTGGGAAGTATTAAACAATACACACTTGATAAGTTTCGTCTTCAGCAAATGGATACGCTCCATATTGATCTAGTAAATTCAGGCTGGGTGGTGGTGGAAGCTCTTGTTCTGCCAACATCGGGGTGGTGGTTTCAGGCGGAACTGAGATAGCCGGTCCTACCGGTGTTGCTCCGTGATTGCGTTATATACGTTGACCAGGTATGATCCCCACTCTCTCCTCTCTCTCCGCTCAAAACATCATTCACTATGCCTGGAGATCTATCACAAGTCGTTGGCTACACACTTCCTGACAAGCCTGTGTGTAACACCCTCATACTTTACAAGGAGAAGCTAATTCTGTGACCCAACGTAGGTGGCATGGAACAAACGCGACCTTCTAACGTACGCTGTTGGAGTCGGTGCTAAGAACGATGAATTCCCTTTTATCTACGGTACGCTGATATGGAGTTTCTCCTGACAATGTTGTGCGCTGACAATATGAGCAGAGCTTGGTCGGTATCACTCCGTATACTGTGCTTTACGCACACCACGCTTACAGCGACACCTATAGACCCCAACTTTGCTGCTCTCCCTACATACCCTGTCGTCTTACAGCTTAAGGGTGCCGATCAAGATGTGAACCTTTTTGCCGACCGGGTGAAGGGGCGCCCTATCCCGGGTTTGCCTCCTTTGAATCCTAACCGTGTCGTCAGTTTTTCTACTACCTTGGAGGTAGTGCCAGGTTCATAATACGGTATACTAGGTGCACGCAACCCAATCTATCGAGATTATCAAGCCCCTCCCTCTGGTGAGCGGAGACGGCTGGACATGGAAGACTCGGTACACAGGCGTCGTCGAGAACAGTGCGTTGTCAGTTACTTCTTCCCTTCATATCATGACTTATCTACTCTTCGAAGAGAGTGGCATTATTCTTACAGCGGAGAACACCCTCGTTGATCCAAAAGGAACTGTATACGCTAAACTCTTCGTGAGAAACTTTTCATTACTTACATTCCGACTTTTCCCCTAATGTGGGGCAATCGTCCAGTCCTCATCCTTTAATCTCGGGGCGAAGGCAACCGGCGAGAAATACTCCAAGTTTATTGCTGGTCCCCCTCAGGGAAAGCCAGTCCCGAAAGACCGAAAGGCCGATTGGATAGTAGAGGAACAAACAACACCAGAGCAAGCTATCGTCTTCCGTTTGAGCGGAGACTATAACCCTCTACACATTGGTGTGTTACGTTTGAGATAGCATCTATCGTTATATTCATTGACTCCGAATGAACAGACCCCAGAATAGGCCAAGGTGCCGGCTTTGGCGGGGTCATCCTACATGGCCTCTCGACCTTTGGCTTTGCAGGCCGCGCCGTTCTGAAGACTGTCGGCGCTAGCGACCCTAACTCACTTAAATTCTTCGGTGTGCGCTTCACTGCCCCAGTCAAGCCTGGAGACAAATTGGAGACAAGCATCTGGGAGGTGGGTAATGGCCCTCACGGTACCACCGAGGTGGCCTTCGAGACAAAGAACTTGACCACTGGCAAGGTGGTGCTTGGGGCTGGTATTGCATATGTATTGAAGAAGGGCGGCGCTAAACTATAACTTTGTAGACCGATCTAGCAATGTCGTTATTGACAAAATTTATACAATGATCTTCTTACATTTCGATGACAACCCAAGCCAACCAGCTTTATGTAATTCTAGACCATACTCTTCGCTATCTTGTCTGTAACGTACCTTCACAGGATCACTAAGGCATTGGCCTCGAGATGTCGGCGCTATATCGTCTAGAGCCTGCTTTATCTCCAGAGACTGTCTTCTTTCAATATGTGACTTTCACAAGTTTCCTCACCATTGCTCAAATAACATTCTAATCATGTCAGATAGCCTCTGGTGAAGTCCTACCAGTGTGTGCATTCACCGACGCTCTCACTTGTGTGACTCAACAATCCCTTTATTCAAAACAGATCCACCGGAACGAAAAAAAAAACATGAAAATTTTTATGGCGTACTATGCACATAAGCGGTACTTATTTCTCTTGCTTGATTGAACCTCAAACGGCTGATTTATGGACGGTGAAGGAAGCTGTTAAACTAAAAGGGAAATGTTAGTGTGACCTCAATAAGAGCGGTTAAAGGGCGATCTCACTGAATCGCGAGAGACAGAAGCTGGGTGGCAACCGTTCCCTCCTTCTCCTGGTCCAAAGCTACACTACACGTCAAGGTCAGAAGCTGGAGAAAGACCTGAATCGGGTAAAAAGGCTTACAAAAGCGCGATTCAAGAAGTTGTTGTACATGTTATTGAAATCATCGTCACTGCAAAAGTTATAGCGTTCAGGATTCACGTACAACCTGACTGTTTGAGAGACTTACTTAGGAACCTCGGAGCCATGGCTCCACAGATAGGAGTTGAATCCGTTCCTAAATGTGTCTGAATTTACTTGTTAGCCGGCAAAAAATCGGCTTCAAATGTTGACGAACCTCTGGTGAAAGGCGTGTCGCCGTTACCTCCGTTCAAGGCCGCCATAACGTTTCCCGTGACCGGGCGGGTGCCGGACGCGAAACCTGAAGGGTTGTCGCAATTTTTAATAACGCCGTTGCAGCACAAAGCTCCGAGCGTGAGAGCGACCTTGAACGCAAAAAATACTGTAACGTTCATCTCAGACTCGACGTAAATTACTACATACCGATGCACAAACAGCGGCGATGGCGCAAGGTAGAAGAGACCAGAGATTGATAGGCGGGGCCTAAATAATTTATTTGAGCAATAATGAAGATTGTGTAAAAAAGGATACACACGATACTGCCTACAGCAGCAATACACGCTCCTGCAGGGATCTGGCAGTACCATACGAACTGGTCCAGGCAGGTGGCGCGTTCTTGATGATAGCGAAGAGTTAGGCTGGTCTCGGTGGGGCCGGGGATGTACTGAGAATAATGACCGGCGAGACTTGCAACAATGAGTTCTTCGCGTTTAAAAGCCCCATCAGCGGAAGGGTTTTCCCAGTTATGAACATCGACGGCGACGGGATTCGCCTTTGCAAGAGAGATGGCAAGAGCTGCGCTCAGGATCTGAAGGACAAGCATTGGATTGACGATCTCATCTCAAAAGTTACTCCCCTTATATACCCGCGACACGAGTCCATACCAGCAAAAAGGCTCTTTGCTCCTTAAACATCGTCGGCGAATGGATTTTGGGCGTATCTACTGCCCGAAGAGGCCCTGTCAATGACAAACTTATCAGGATAGGGTACGATCGACTAGGTGCCTTTTCACAGCCGAACAGAGGAGGTTTGTTGGACTCAGATGATACACCAGATTGTCGTAAAACCTCGAAGGTCCGTTGAGCGCGGAAGATTATGTGCCTTCTATGAAGCTTTCTCGCCAAGGAACGGCACTAGAGAAATCCGAGAACGCAAGATGGCGATGATTCAGAATGAACAGGGAATGAACGATGCAAGGTAGAAGACATTCGATTGAAGAAAAGGAGATCTTTTCCATCCACTCATGGCCAGTCAGAGTTCCATTTTTTTCGTTGGTTGATTGGCTCTTGAAGGTTGTTGGTTGTTGGCCATACATTGTCATAGTCTACAGAAATTGAAATGACAAGTGACGAGAATCAGAGGGAAAACCCTATCCCCACCAGCGTAGGTGAGCGTGCGCAGGTACTACGTCCTTGAGCGGCTGTGAACTTTGGATCCAATGTGAAGCGTGTGTCCAAGTCGGAGGCCTTGGCAGTCATGAAAACACTGCAAAATTCGTCTTGGCAATGATGTATCGGTGAAGACCCGGCACCGGGCCGTTCCGTTTCAGGGAAAGATAACAACATTACCTCCATCTATGATCTGGGAATCAAACGTCCCAGCGCCCGAACTCAAATAATGCAATGGGCTTTGTAATGAATATGGAAAATATGCGCCTTCCTTCGTCGCGCTCGAAAACTCACGCAACATTCCTGATTCCGAAACGAAATACGCGTCTCTCGACCTTGTGCTTTGCAGGCCGCGCCTTTCTGAAGACTGTTGGCACTACCAGCGACCCCAACTCCCTCGGATTCTTCGACCTCCGTTTCACTGCTACAGTCAAGCTTGAAGACAAATCGGAGACAAGCATCTGGCGGATGGGTAACGACCTCGAGGTAGCCTTTGAGCGTATTGAAGACAGACGGAGATCCGACATAACCAGTCTGCAGCTACATAATGTATTAACATTTATACAGTGATTTCCTTACATTCCGATGAAAGCGAAAGCCAGCAGCGCTTTAAACTTTTTAAATCAGTCCTGTCGCAATCTTCGTCCGTAACACCCTCATACGATCAACCAAGCCATCCGCCTCGAGATAACAGCCCTTCAACCACCTATTCGTCTCTCCTTTTTTACCCGGTTCAGATCCCGGATCAGTGAACGCTGTTCGTGCATGCAGGACGCGGCGGTTATCAAACAACACCGCGTCGCCCTCACGAAGGGTATACTCATACGTGTTCTGGGGATCGTTCAATAGTTTCGAAAATCGTTGTAGAGCGAGATAGAATTCTCTCGACGTGCTGAGCGGAAGCGGGGCTTGGAACGGTGGTGAGTAATTGACGTGCGATATCTCGAGCTCGGATGAAGGGGAGGATAGTGTTGATAGGGGCGCCAGCTCAATGGTAGGATGGTTGTGATGAAGATGGTGTCCGTCATTGATGTAATGGAAAGCGACGGGGGTCTTTGTGAGAGTGTCGAAGTCGTTGGGATGAGTATCGCGGAGGACGCGCGCGGCGTGTAAGGAGTCTACAAAAATGGAGGCTCCTCCAACAACGCGGTTGCGAAGACAGTGGAGAATTTGATATCGCGGTGGATGTTGGAAATATCTACATAAACATTGTAAGTTGGTAAACGTTTTACTCTGGAAGGGGCGACGCACAGGAGATCCATGTGAAGTCCAAGATCTAGGTTAGTATACGCAATATTTCTACTATTCCGCACATTGATCACGTCCCATAGAGGTCCATAAAATGTCGGGCGAATTTCACCAAACTTTTCAGCCAATACACGTAGCTCACACGCGTTGTTCGAAGTCTCCTTATTGGAAACCCCGGAAACAAAGAGCAAGCCGTACTTTGAGAGCTGAGTAATCGCCTTAACAAGCCCTTCGGGACTATTGATAGTATCATAGGGGATGAAGAGATCCCGGGACTCAGAGATGGATTCATTCGTCCAAGCCTCATGCACAATGCAGTGGTCGTGGTGAGACTCTGCAAGCTTCGTCGGAAAGGCATGGCGCTCCAAAAAATTTGCGTGAAAGAAAGACTTGTGTCCGTCCGTCCAGGTGATGGCGATACCATTCTTGGTAACCTGGACACCACCTTCCGTCACGGGCGCGATGGACATGGGGACATCGGATGTACGGTGAAGTTTCTGCTTGGTTGACGGGTGAATACATTCTGGAGATTGGCAAGAGTCTCTGAGCCATATGTATGGAAATGAAGTGTTCTTTAGCTTGTGGATCGTCAGCGCGTCGGAGGTGGTGGTTACGGTTGTCCATCTCCGTCGTTGGAATTTCGAAGCGAGGAAAGAGGCTGTAATGGACCTCGATGCGGGAACTGCCCTGCGGAGAAAAGGAGAGAGCATGGTATACGGCAATGCTAGATGGCTCCGGTCCTTTAACTTGGTCAGTGAGGTTCTATGTGATTCCGCTCGGCGATGATGGCTTCCGTTCCGTTGTTTGAAACTCTTGGCACTGAGAGTACACGTACACATAACCAAACAAACTCCACGCTGCAACAAGTCGTTCACCTTCGTTCAGTGTCTTTCTTAGTCGTCCTTGAAGCTTGAAGTTTGATCAAGCCTGGATCGCGCACAGAGATTGCCCACAACTCTCAAAATTCACGCCCCAGTTCTCCACAACTTTTTTGCTCACGATCAACACCTCTACGTCGCCCTCGCTCACGTCCTCGCACTCTGCTTCCGATTTCAGAGCGTTTGAACCCTTGGACGGCCTACTACTCGTCGTGATTACAACATGCCAGCGAAGTCCTGCGGTTGTGGTCCGACCCTCGCAGAGTTGCTATTTGATTGGCCACCAGAGAAGCTCCCAGAACTCGATTCCGCCATCGCTCGCTTATTGTTGAAGTCACGCGATCTGAGAGAACAGATTAACGCAAGGACAGCCTTTCTCTCTCTTCCTGCAGAGATTATCTCGGAGATCTCGATGATGGCTTGTGAACCTGTTTACGAGGCCAGTGATCCGCATAGCTTTGTGAAATCCAGGCAACTTACAACGCCGTTAATGTTGGGAAAGATCTGCCGGCTGTGGCGGCACATAGTTTTTCGTTCTCCTCGGCTCTGGAATGTTATTTTTCTCGAGCTCCGAAGGGAGCCCCAGTTGTATAAGACTCGATTGCAATTGCTGAAGTCATGGCTATCACGCTCTGGAGATCTTCTTCTATCCATACACCTCGACGAATTGGGGCGTGAGGCAGCAGGATGGATAGAAAACCCACCAGTGGAAGTTTTTGAGCTTCTTGCAGGCTATTCCCATCGTTGGCTACATGTCAGCACTTTCCTCGTACGTCCCTGTTGGGAGGGCCTCGAAAAACTTCCCCTTCCTTCCTTGACTACCCTTGCTGTCCGACCTCCGGGTGATGCTCGTCCGCCTACAGAATTGAGAAAGGCCAACTGGCGGATTTCATATGCACCATTTCTCCGAGACGCGTATTTTGTCATGTTCGACAAAGTGGCAATGGAACTTCCAATGCATCAACTTACCCAAATCAGAATGAAGTCGTGCATGTGGCAAGATTGCTTGTCACTTTTAGCAAACGCTCCAAACGTGGTACACTGTGCACTTCTCGGCTTATATTCTCGTTCCAACGACAACCCCCACGCTGTCATTGTACTCCCTTATCTGTCTAGTCTTACTGTGGGATCCCTGTCGGGGGTTCCTCTGATCACGACACTTTTGGATTGCATCATGACCCCTTCCCTATCTCAGATGCATGTTATATGGGGTGAGAGTCGGGGTTCAGAGCCTTTCGCCAGTATGGGGACTTTCCTCTCCCGATCTTCATGCTCCCTCCGCGAGCTGTCTTTCCATGTGGCATATCATAGGGAGACATGTGAGCAGGGGTTAATTACCATGCTTGCAGATATGGAGAGTTTGGAGAAATTAGAACTGAGTTGCAAATGGGGGGGGAAATTTGAGCCCGTTTTCTATCACCTAAATCCAGCAAGGCCACAGCACACTCCTCAGTATCTTCATCCAAGTCGTGTAGTTCTACCCAACCTTCGCTGCTTTCGTTATAAGGGACCCATGACCTTCGAGATTCATCACCTTACACAAATGATTGACATGCGGTACCGCATGTCAAACGACGGGGAGAAAAACTCGCAATTGGAACCTGTAGGGCGTGAAGGACATTATAATCATATTGCAAGACCAGAATCATTCAATATCGAAATTTTGGAGATGAAACGTGACCACCACTACTACACCATACTTTGTGATTATGTGGGCACCTTGGAAAGGCTTATGGAAGAGCATGATGGGATAACGTTTTCTTTCTTTGATGGGATGGGCGACAACATATCCCTACAGAGTTTGATGCCAGTCATGGATCCGGACAGCCTGGCGGATTTTTGAAAAGTTTAGTTGGAAGACTCAGAGGAGTGTTGGATGAGTGGACGTATAGATTTCAAGGAATTTGGCTGGACTGTGAAAAAGGTTCTCTAGAAACAAACCTGGCAGAAGCTTTTGAATAGAGCCTTTAGTGGAAGTCGACTGACTCCTGTGGGCAAGACGGACGCGTCAAAACGAGTCAGCAAATAGATTGATATCTCAAAGAATCGGATGGATCAACTTATTGGAGACTCCGGAGACAAAGAACAAGCCATACTTCAAGGGCTGAGTGCTCGTCTTAACAAGCCCTTCGGCACTGTTGATAGTCTTATAAGGGATGAAGAGATCCTGGGACTCAGGGATCGGTTTATTCGTCAAAACCTCACGCACAACTCGTCATTTCTCCTTGGTTGATGGGCGAATACATTCCGGACATTGGCAAGAGTCTCTGAGCCATGTTTATCTAAATGAAGTGTTGTCCAGCTTGGTCAGAGTCCAGACATGATGCGCAGTTACGCTTGTTCATGCCATTCGTCGTCCAAAGAGGCTGTAATGCCAGACCTGAATGAGGGAGTGTCTTCCAGAGAAAAGAAGGGATGGCAATGCTAGATGGCTTTGTTATAATAAGCTTGCAGTCCTTGTGTGATTCAGCTCAGCTGCTCGGCGATGATGGCTTCCGTTCCGTTGTTTGAAACTCTGTGACTGGAACTGACAGCACTACTTACTAGTAGGACACGTACACATAACCAAACAAGCTCCAACATCCATGCTGCGACGATCGTTCACTGTCTTTTTTATCCTCCCCCATCAAACCTGAATCGCGCACAAAGTTTGCCCACAAATTTCAAAAGCACCGCCTACGCCCCAGCCTTTCACAACTTTTCCGCTCACGATCAGCGCCTCTACGTCGCCCACGCTCACGTTCTCGCACTCTCCTTTCCGAAGCGTTCGTCCAGCAAAAGTTTGCAAACTCAAACGCACTGTTTGAACTCTTGCACACCCTACTGCTCGTCTTGATTAGAACATGCCAGCGAAGTCCTGCGATTGTGGTCCGACCCTTGCAGAGTTACTACTCGATTGGCCACCGGAGAAGTTCCCAGAACTCGACTCCGCCACCACTAGCTTATCGTTGAGGTCGCGCGATCTGAGAGAACAATTCAACGCAGGAACTCCCTTTCTTTCTCTTCCTAGAGAGATTATCTTGGAGATCTCGATAATGGCTTGTGAACCTGTTTACGAGGCCAGCGATCCGGACAACTTTGTGAGGTCCAAGCAACTTACATCGCCGTTACTGTTGGCAAAGATATGCCAGCTGTGGCGATGCTTAGTTTTGCATTATCCTCGGCTCTGGAACGTTATTTTTCTCAACCTCCGAAGGGAGCCCGAGGTGTATAGGGCTCAATTGGAACTGCTGAAGTCATGGCTATTACGCTCCGGAGAACTTCTTCTATCCATACACCTTGAAGAAATGGAGCGTGATCCAGCAGGATGGGTGAAAAACCCACCAGTGGAAGTTTTCGATCTTCTTGCACGCTATTCCCATCGTTGGCTACATGTCAGCACTTTCCTCGTCCGTCCCTGTTGGGAGGGCCTCGAAAAACTTCCCCTTCCTTCCTTGACTACTCTTGCCGTTCGACCTCCAACTGTTGTTAGTTCGCCTGCAGAATTGAGAAAGGCCATCTGGCGGATTTCATATGCACCATGTCTCCGAAACGCGTATCTTGTCGTGTTCGACAAAGTGGCAATGGACATTCCAATGCATCAACTTACCCAAATCACAATGAAGTCGTGCATGCGGCAAGATTGCTTGTCACTTTTAGCAAGCACTCCAAACGTGGTACATTGTGCACTTCTCAGTATATATTCTCGTTTCATCTACAACCTCCATCCCGCTGTCATTGCACTCCCTTATCTGTCTAGTCTTACTATGGCATCCCTGGGGGATATTTCTATGATCACGAGACTTTTGGATTGCATCACGACCCCTGCCCTCTCTCGGATGAGGGTTATATGTGGTGAGAGTCGGGGTGCAGAGCCTTTCGCCAGTATCGGGACTTTCCTCTCCCGATCTTCGTGCTCACTCCGCGAGCTCTCTTTCAAGGTGACAAATTATAGGGAGACAACTGAGCAGGCGTTGATCGCCATGCTTACCAACATGGAGACTTTGGAAAAATTAGAACTGCATTGCAAATGGGGAGGGAAATTTGAGCCCGTCTTCTATCACCTAAATCCAGCAAGGCCACAGCACACTCCTCAGTATCTCCCTCCAAGTCGTGTCGTTCTACCCAATCTTCGCTGCTTTCGTTACAAGGGGCCAATGTCCTTCGAGATTCATCACCTTATAAAAATGATTGATATGCGGTACCGCATGTCAATCGACAGGGAGAAAGACTTGCAATGGGACCCGGTGGGGCGTCAAGGAATTCATAATTGTATTGCAAGACCAGAGTCATTCGATATCGAAATTTTGGAGATGAAACGCGACCACTACTACACCATACTTTGCGATTACGCGGATACCTTGGAAAGGCTTATGGAAGAGCATGATGGGATAGTGTTTTCTTTCTGTGATGAGATGGGCGACAACATACCCCTACAGAATTTGATACCAGTCATGGATCCGGACGGCCTGGCGGAGTTTTTTACATAGGTAGATTCACTGATAAATGTTGTCTAGAAACAAACCTAGCAGACTTTTTTGAACAGAGCCTTTGTCAATTGACGGGAAGAAAAACCTGCAGTTGGAACCTGTAAAGCGTGAAGAAAATCATAATCGGATTGCAAGACCACAGTCATTCGAGATTGAAATTTCCAAACTAGTCAGCGAACAGATCTCGAAGAATCGGATGGACCAGACCCGTGCAAGCAACCTAACATCTTTGACACAGTTTGCCAAACGGATGATACATCCATTTGCGCCAAAGTACATGATCAAGACCCATACATTGCAGAAGGATCACTGCGCGTAAGTGTGCAATGGTTCTTTTGAAAACAACACGACTGCCCTAATGTAAGGAAAGCCGGCAATAAATGGAAAACCTCATCCCCAGGGAGGGAGAGCAGAAATGACTACTTTCAACAACATAGTCAGCATATGACCCTCAATTCACACGTCGCTACAACCAAAAATTATCTTACATGCCCATCGCGCCTTGATCAAAAGCCTCGTCCACGGCCCCGCCCACCACCACGTCCCCCACCCCTTCCCCTCCCACCCCGATCAGGACCCCCGCGTCCACCCCTCCCACGGCCCCTCGCATCCTCCTTCTTCCTCCCTTTAGGCTTGGGCGCGTCGTCCACTAGGAGGGTGTCCAGGGGGAGAGCGTCGGGGAGGACAAAGTACCGTACGGTGTTTCCTCGAATAGAGAGGGAGTCGAGGGTTGTGGGATCACGGTTCCGCATGGTCATTTTCACGGTTTTGAGGTGGGTGTTCATTTGCATGTCTACGCCTAGATTGGGGGTTTAAGTGAGTGAGTGAGTGGAAGGGATGGATGGATGGGATGGGAAGGTTACCTGTTATTGTTCCGTGCACTATGCATCCGTTTTTCAGCTCGATTGTCACCGTCTCGTTGTTCAACTTCATCAAGAATCTGTAAGATGCGATTTCATCAGGACGGTTTGTGGGAAAGGAAGGGGTAGACGGACCGAACTAGCTTCATTTTGTCTGTCTTGTTTTGAACGTCCTATGTGCTGCTGGTTGTTGTGTGGGAGGACGTGCGACGATGAAGCGATTGGTTGTAGTGAAAGGAGACCGCTTTGAAAACGCGATCAACAAACTCCGCTAGATTTTCTCATCAGCATGACTCTGACTTTTTGAAGCATCCAGCTCTCCGCCCCGCCTCATACCACCGCATCGTCTTCATCACAAAAAGAAATGCGGGGCTCTCCAGAACTGAGTAGACTAACTAAAGCCCCGCGTTTCGGCAAAATAACAGTTCAGTACCTCTTCTCTTCTAGCATATTCCACCCAACCCTCACACCCCTCACTCAGTTCCGCAAACAAAATCCAGGATCCCCAATCGGAATAATAGTTCCCTCAATGAAACCCCCCACAAACAAAAAAAACGAAGGATACCTGGACCCATCCCACCCAGCGACCCAACTCAACCCCTCCGCCTTCCCCACCTTCCGCTCAGACGCACTCAATCTGCGAGCGGCGCCCGTAGGGGTGTTGTGGAAGATGGCGCCGCCTTTTGGGTGGCCTTTACAAGCACCTTTCGAGACGTGGTCGGATAAAGTGGCGAGACACTTTGGGTTGACTCCTACACACGCTGAGACGAATGCTGCTGCCCGACCTACATGGGAAGGCGGCACCAGTTATCTGAACAAGAAGCGAAAAGAGAAGAGGAAAAAATTCGATATACCCATGTCCTTCTTCTCTGCTACGAACCAGAAACGGATGGGTGGGAAAGCGGTTTATGTTGGTGCTATTAAGCGGAAGATCAAGAATGCGACGAGGCTTGTTGTGCTTAGGGGTGCGAAGGTGGGGAGGGGGGAGTATAAGGGGACCCCGTACGCTAAGGTTGTTTTTGATGAGGAGGAGGTGAGGAGGATGGATGGGAGAGGGTGGATTATGCCTGGTGCGTTTCTCTATTCTTTTTAAAGGGAGTGACTGATGTTTATGGGTTTCTAGGTTGGTCGTACGTGTTCTTCCCGACAACGGAAGTATACCGTATGCCGTATCCAGACCTTGTCAGTTGTATACGCGACGCTCTGCGTTTTGTGTATACAAAGGCACATGCGATGGAACAGGGGTGGCTCAAAGCTGAAGAGAGGAAGTTCGGCTTCAGAAATCCCAGTCCATCAAGACCCGGTCCTAGTTCTAGGACGCCAACCGTTCCAAGGAAATCACCTAAGGCTGAGGATACGGAAGGGAAGAAGCCCGGCAAGTCGAGCCCCAAGGAAACCTGGCTCCGATACAAAAGATTGTCTACCCTCTCCGAAAAAATTGGCGAAGACACCTGAAACGAAGAAATCTGGCTCGAGGCTGAACATCAAGTACATGCCACATTCATCGAACGTCGAACCTAATTCCAGAATATCGTCGCCGCTTTGCAAAAAAACCCAGTTTTGAGGGTCATCGTGCTTCTTACGCTCGCTGGCGTCTTGGATGTGATCTTCCTACCTGTGCAAACTCCGAGACCTGTGGTGGCCAACGGTGGAATTGCACATCTTTGCGTCGGCCAGGGTGCAGGACTAGACGCGTAGGCATCTGGTCAGGTAACATTAGCCCCCGTGAATGTTCTCTTGCTCGATGTAGGGCTCTTTAAGGGATGGGGGTGATCATGGTCGTTTGAAGCATACCCTACTGTTCCAGTACTCTCCAAGGGGCGATGTTGGTGGGTTGGGACCCATATCTCACGTACGAGAGACCACCTAAACATTGTATATACCCCCGAATGATCCATACCCACACCGTTGCTTTGTCAAATAAAGATGTTCGTTGACATTCATGAACTGTTCACACTAAGCTTCACACATTATCGACCTGAATCTGACATATCTCGTTGCCTTTGGGCTGAGCGGCGGATATGTTTGCCGACTATAAAATTTTCTGCCATACAGCAATATTCCACGAAGAAAATAATGCATAATTCCAGGGATATCGATATCTCAACAAGGTATAATCAACTCACGAGACGTCCCTCCCACCTTCCCCAGCGTTGGCGTTTGGAGGTTTCGTATTCAGAGGAGGCTTCCCCTTCCGTTCTCCGAACCCCTTACTCGTCGACTGTTTGCCACTGGCCGGACCCCTCGGTTCACGCACAACTTTCACCACTGATTGCGTTTGAGGCTTCATTTTGTCCGTCGTAGGTGGTGGCGATAGCGGTGGTGGCGTATCACCACCGAATATCCTCTCCCGTGCCGCATGGTACCTCTTCTCCCTCTCTTTCATCGTCTCCGCCCCATTCGGCTGTGAGCTGGCGGAAGAAGACTGGGAGGTGGAGGCAGAGGGCCGTTTGAGAATCCGCATGGAGGGTTGTTGTGTGAACGCTGCTTGGGGCGGGAGGTGTGTTGACGGGGATTTGGTTAGGATTAGGGCGGGCATTGGGTGTAGGGTTTTAGTGTTTCTGGAAGGAAGGAAGGAAGGAAGGAAGGAAGGGGGTTAGGATGGAGATGGGGGAAGAAGATGAGGACGTACGCGTGTTCCCATATCTGTTTGTTTAGTTCTTCAGAGGGGGGTTCTTCGTCCACTTCGTCGTCGTCGTCTTCCCAATCATCTTTTATAGGTGTAGGAGGCGGTGCTGGTCGACGTGTATTGCTTACAGACGTGGATGGTACTGGTCGATCCCATGCATCATTGTTGCTGGCCATGATGATCAGGAGGGTCATTTGATGATATTTAAACTCGTTATCGCACATCTTATCTTATCTTATCGCCTTCTTACAACCTTAACTTTGATTCTTTTAACCATCGTCTTCTCCCCAACTACCAACCCACCACCCAGCATGCCAGCCCCACAAGAATTCCTCTCCTTCGTCGACACCAACGCCAATGCCTTTATCAAAAGGCTCGCAGAGGCCGTCGCTATCCCATCGTACGTACGCCCACTCTCTCCCTTCCTTCCTCCCTCTGTCTCTTTGAATGTACTCACTCATGAACACAGAATCAGCGGAGACGCAACCCACCGCGCCGACGTCGTCAAAATGGGCGAATGGCTCAACACCCACCTCAAAGCCGTAGGCGTCTCCACCCAGCTCGTCGATCTAGGTAAACATACCATGGACGGGGAAGAACTCAATTTACCCCCCGCGATACTTGGCCGGATCGGGGATGATAAGAGCAAGAAGACCGTTCTTATCTATGGGCATTTCGACGTTCAACCTGTCAGTTCCCTTTTTATTTGTGTGATATTCCAAGTGCTTATATGCGGGGGAGTGTAGGCAAATAAATCGGACGGATGGAACACTGACCCATTCACGTTGACCATCGACGAAAGTACCGGCCAACTCATCGGTCGTGGGTCTTCCGACGACAAGGGCCCCGTGTTGGGGTGGCTTAACGTTCTTCAGTATCACCACCAACAACGTAAAGCCCTCCCTGTGAATCTGCGGTTCTGCTTTGAAGGCATGGAGGAGAGCGGGAGCGAGGGGCTCGATGACCTTGTTGAGAGGGAGTCGAAGCCTGGTGGGTGGTTTGATGGTGTTGATTGTGTTTGTATCGTACGTTCCCTGCCCTTCCCCTCTTCCGCGTCCATGTTGATGATTTGGATTGATGGTAGTCGGACAATTATTGGCTGAACACACGTACCCCCGTGTTGACGTACGGCCTACGAGGCCTCACATACCTCAAAGTCACCGTCCACGGGCCCGGACGGGACCTCCACTCTGGTGTCTTTGGTCGAACGGTATACGAGCCCATGACGGATCTCATCGCCATCATGAGTAAGCTTGTCGATTCTCAAGGGAACATTCTGATTCCTGGTGTGGACGAGATGGTGTGCGCTGCGGATGAGGAGGAGAGGTATGTTTTATCATTTCATGAGAATTCTCTGATGATGACGCATATAATAGGGAGATATATGAGTCTTTGGATTATAGCTATAAAGATATCGAGAGCGCAGCGGGTGGTCCGGTTGCGCTGACCACCGACAAGGTCGACCTTTTAATGGGCCGGATGCGGTACCCCAGCTTGTCGTTACATGGTATTGAGGGCGCGTTCAGCGGCGTTGGAGCCAAGACTGTCATTCCCGCAAAGGTCTCAGGGAAGTTTAGCATTCGGTGATTTCCCCCCCCCCCCCTCTTTTTTCTTTCTACACGCTCAACCACCCACGTAGGTTGGTACCACCCCAAACGCCAGAGATCGTCGACCCCTTGGTGATAAGCTACATCGAATCCGAGTTTGCGAAGCTGAACACGAAGAATACGTTGACGATTGAGAATTTGCATGGTGGGAAGCCGTGGGTTGCTGATCATACGCATTGGAATTTCGAGGCTGCGAAGAGGGCTACCAAGGTTCTTTCTTCTTTCTTCTTTGCTCTTCGTGGCTGATGGGAATCTCGTACGATAGGCGGTGTATGGGCAAGACCCGGATTTGACGAGGGAGGGTGGGTCGATTCCTGTTACGCTGACGTTTGCGGAGAGTCTTAAAGTGAATGTGTTGTTGTTGCCTATGGGGAGGGGGGATGATGGTGCTCAGTGAGTTTTGTCGTTTCTTTTTGGTTCGGCCTTGCTGCGAAGGTGGAGCATCAGGCCCCTGCGTGATGGATGCATGAACGTTCGAGCAGGGAGCAGCGCCGGCTGGGCAGGATTGAATTTCGGTTTGCTGATTGTTCATCCTCGTTTTAGCTCGACGAACGAGAAGCTGGACAGGTCGAACTTTATTGAAGGGGTGAGTTTTTTGCAAGAGTTTTTCCGTGTGGTTTTTTTGTTCATTGATTAGACGAAACTTCTTGGAACGTATCTTTACGAGTTGGCTGATATCCAGGGGAAGAAGTAGGGTGTTGCCGGAGAGACAAGACGGACGCAAGGAAGACAAGAAAGTAGTAGTTGTTCATGGGATTCAGAAGGACCCTGACGTGTATTGAGTATCGTGTATACCGTGTACGATGTTGTGTTTGTGACAAAAGGACCTCTCAGTCTGGAAGACAAGGAGCAAAAGGTGAACACAAATTTCAGTTTTCTTGTCAATCAAGGGACAGTGTCCGTAAATGGAAAGATTCCGTGAAGGTCCCGATCTGTAATTATTAGCCACGAATAAAACTTGAACCACACACCACTTTCTTTTTCATTTCTCACTCCCTTTCTCCCCCTCCCACAACCCCTCCACTCTACCGTCCCCGCCCGCCCAATGCCTGTTAAAGTCTCCAAGATCTGCTGCAGTACGTCGTGAATAGCTACTAAATTGCTTTTCTGACCAAAACGCGTGTTCACAATAGTTGGAGCTGGCTATGTCGGTGAGTTGGCATTCTTTCTCTCTCTCCATCCACACACCCGCACACGCCATTTCTAACACCCTACATCTATCCCCTATAGGCGGCCCAACATGCGCCGTCATCGCGCTCAAATGCCCGCACATCACCGTCACCATCGTCGACCTCAACCAATCCCGCGTCGACGCCTGGAACTCGCCCGATTTCGCGCTGCCCATCTATGAACCGGGCTTAGTAGACGTCGTCCGCCAAGCTCGGGGCCGCAACCTTTTTTTCTCGACGGATGTGGATAAGGGGATCGAGGAGGCTGATTTGATTTTTGTTAGCGTGAATACGCCGACGAAGAAGAGTGGTGTTGGGGCTGGGTTTGCTGCTGATCTCAAGTTTGTGTTTTTTTCCTCCTTTTTATCCCCCCTTTTTGTGTGTGTGTGGGGACTGATGATGGTGGATAATGTAGTTACGTGGAACTAGCCACCCGCCGAATCGCGACCGTTGCCAACTCGTCCAAGATCGTCGTTGAGAAATCGACGGTACCATGCCGCACCGCCGAGTCCATGCGTACCATCCTCGAAGCGAACTCGAAGCCGAATTGTCGGTTTGATATCCTATCGAACCCGGAATTTTTGGCGGAGGGAACGGCGATTACTGATCTGTTTAAGCCGGATAGGGTGCTTATTGGGTCGTTGGAGACCAGGGAGGGTGTGGAGGCTTGTCAGTCTTTGGCTGAGGTTTATGCGAATTGGGTTCCGTGGGTTCTTTCTCTCTCACTCTTGTGGAGTTCACGCATATATTGACTGGTGTGATTAGGCAAGACAGGATCTTAACCGTCGGTCTATGGTCCTCTGAACTATCCAAGCTAGCAGCCAACGCCATGCTCGCGCAACGCATCTCCTCCATCAACGCCCTCTCCGCCATCTGCGAAGCGACGGGTGCGAATATCGACGAAGTTGCCCATGCGATTGGGTATGATTCCCGTATTGGACCCAAGTTTTTGAAGGCGAGTGTTGGGTTTGGGGGGTCGTGTTTCCAGAAGGATATCCTCAACTTGGTGTATTTGAGTGAAAGCCTGCATTTGCCTGAGGTGGCGGCGTATTGGAGGCAGGTTGTTGAGATGAATGAGTATCAGAAGCGGAGGTTTTCCAAGAGGGTTGTTGATACGCTTTTTAATACTATCACTGGCAAGGTTTGCTTCTTCTTCCTTTTTTATGGTACTGGAACAAATGCTTATTATTACTTGCAGCGTATCGCGGTTCTCGGGTTCGCATTCAAGGCTGATACGGGTGATACGCGCGAGTCTGCCGCTATCACCCTCATCAAGGACTTCCAGTCTGAAAGGGCCTTTGTGAACATCTATGACCCGCAGGTGGAGGAAGAACAGATCTGGAATGATCTGAGCGAGGCGAGCCCTTTGATACCCATCGAGTCCAGTACGTTTCTCCGCCGTGGTTTTGGGTTCTATCTTTCGTGCTCATTACCTTTAGTCAAGAAACAGGTGACGATCTGCCACTCCGCGATCGAAGCGTGCAAGAACGCGGAAGCCGTCGTGATCGCGACGGAGTGGAAAGAGTTTTTGGAGATTGATTGGGAGGAGGTGTATAAGGGTATGAATAAGCCTGCGTTTGTGTTTGATGGACGGTTGTTGGTGGATGCGGAAAAGTTGACGAAGATTGGGTTTAAGGTTTGTTTTGTTCTTTCCTTTTTTCTTTGTTGGTCTTTGCTGAATGGGGGATTGTGGTTAGGTTACTACTATTGGCCGCCCTTCTGCTGTTGCTGCTTAGACGAACTGGAAATCGGAATTGGAATTGGAAGGAAATTGAATGAACTGTATAGAACTGGCTTGGACGGTTATCCCCCCCTCGAACTTGTACGGACTTGACTTGATAGAGTAGAGCTTTAATATTAGCCTTTGATGTTGTGGACCTGCGCAGTTGTTGAACGTTTCTTTGATACGACATCTCGTCGTTATTGCGCCGCCATAGTAGTGGGTGCATCGCCCCTTTGGCCTGTAGGTTGTTTGTACTTGTTGTATTACTGCCAATTTCTTTGATTTTCACGGAAATCATCTTTTTTAGCGCATGGCCTCTTCTTTGGGTCAGATTTATGGCCAAATCGAATCAAATATCAATTCCGCAGGGAGTCTTTGGACTCGTTTTTTTAAATTCGGGCGTGGGACCAGGAATTTAATCGAAAAATGACATTTAGAAAACACATTTTAAAAAAGTAGTCCGAAGTCTCCCTCCAGCAATGCTAGATCATCATTTTTACGCGCTCATTTTGAGGCAAACGCGAGGGAGGAAAGAGAAAGGCTGTAATAATTGCTGATTGGCTACAAGACCAATTAATGTATTACATAATACGCGTCAAAAGCATACTGACTATGCAAAATCACATCCCATAACACTGAATATCCTGCGGCACCCTCCTATACCTACAGAAGAGGTTACTTTCTTACCTCACATGTCCCAAAATTTGAAAGCATGAAGGTTGACAATGGGAAAGACTCTGTGGAGGTCACATGGAGAGGGTGCCATTGAAGAGCACATGAAGCCAAAGCCCAAGGGGGTCTGTGAGCTGATTAAGGTTGTCGCTAGGTTTCTTGCTTGAGGATACAAGGGAAATAGCAGGACAGGTACTTCCTGGGATGGACACCAACAATCAAACTGCAGGAGAGAACTTATATGAGTCAGACAACAACAATTTCTGGATTAGATTTTGATATACTATATGTTACATGTTTCATACACAGCTCTACAGGGTAGAATGCCTGAAATACCTTGAACTTTTGTTTCGAAGTGGATGCAAGCGCGATTTGCCAGTTTCGAGGTGGCTGTGCACTGACTAAGCAGCCGCAACCATTTAGGGATGGTGCGCCTCTCCAATAGTAGTAGCTCATGATCAGTACGGTCACGTGTTTCCTTGCCCTCTTTGGCGACGAAGCGAAACGTTGGTTCCCGTCCATCTGAAGCGAGACAACGTCCCCCGCCTTATGAAGTGACAACACGACGACATCTACCATTCGACGCGTGACCGCACCCACTTTCGCATTCACATGGCCACGATACCGATCTACCTCGAGACATGACGAGCCGCCCGCCAGTCCCTAAGAGCATGACGATTCGCTTCATTCTCCCCGAAGACACAAAACTCGCACGCCGCCTGGCGATAGATCAATATATCAATCCTCTCGCCGTAGATCAGTGAACGTATTGACTCACTCAACGTGTCTCAACCTTCAAATTGCGACACTTGGGTACGAATGGCGGAAAAGTTAAAAATGGAGAGGGACGTATCTAGATCCTGGGTTATACCTGGGAAGACGAAGGTACGCGCTGGTTCGGTTTTGCGGGTCAAAACTGTTCTGATTTTCGCGTTGGACTTTCAAGAGTCCGTGACGTTGGAACCTCAATCAGTTGGGTTCGTAGTTTTCTGAAAGTTCTCGTTGGGTTCTCGCGTCTTTTTTTCATATGTCTTTCAAAAGGGGAGGTAGGACTTTCAATCAAACTTTCGGATAGGATAGCGGCGTTGAAGGCAGAATGTATGTGATATGGTGCCTTCGTGTCTTTGACTTTCTGTCATTGTTCTTGCGAATAGGTTAGGCATTCAAGGAAAACTTTACGCCGTATGGTGCCTCCGTGTTCACTGACTCATGCAAACTCATTGGCGCTCAAGTGTGTATATCTCAAACATTGCGTTTGGAGGTGGCAACTCCCAAAAGGGGTAGAGTGGTATGTGGTTCCCTTCGTGTCTTCGGATTCCCGATATCAAGCCATGGGAACTTTCAGCGAGTCGGTACGCTCTCTATCGTCTCCACGAACTAGCTAATCTTCCGCTTATCTACAGAGGTTACAATGTTGTGAGCGAGTTCTCCGTTCGTCAAAGAATGCGAGGATGAATTTGGGGCGAAGTGGGTGGGTGTTTCTTCACCCACCTCTGCGCTGTTTGTTCTGACTCTTGCCTCGGGTGAGTTTAATTATTCAATCGAAGTGATTTGTATGAACTCAAAGCGCCTCATTGAAGGATTCCCAATAGCGGGACGCTCCGGCCGTTCATGCTGGGAAAGGACACGAGGCTGGCTAAGTCTACGTCACGTTGATGGGGGAGTGAGCCGGACGGGCCTGTATCGTAGATTCAAATGAAATGCGGATATCCCACGGATTGACATGGATGAGAGTTCAGTTCCATTCATGGGCAAACACGAGTCAGATAACGGGGCTGTGTTTCCTTTGACGCGCCGCAGGAATTCCATCTGGGAGGATCCATGTTGAGCGTGACAAACACTTCCACCACTTGCAACTTAACCACAACATGTCGAACCAGCCACAGAACAAGAAAACTTTCTCCTTTTTGCCAAACAGTTTGAAATCATTTCAAAGCCGCTTTTCATCGTCGAGGAATGCTGCCCAAACTCAAACGGGCCAGAGCGCGCATGTGTCGCGGTCTGGTACAACTTCTCCAGTCATGTCCAGGTCGCCTTCACCCGAGGGACACAACACCGATGTTCAATCTTCCCCTAGCGCATCGGTAGCTGTCGTAGGCTCCTCCGGGAGTACAGGTATATAACCATCTCTGAGTCTTGGCAGGCGCTCTAACGTGCGCTTAGTCAAGGAATTTGCAAAAGACGTCTGGAGTGCGGGCTATGAAGTGGTCAAAATTCTCAATCAGTGCTCAGGTCTCTGTCCTCCTTTGAAGACTGCTCTTAGCGGTTTCATCGAGTGTGTTGAATTGTACAATGTGCGTCCTGTCTGATATTGACGTAGGTCGTTCTGGCTTACGCTTTTGATAGAAGACAGCTGGAAACCACAAAGAGATGGAACGGATTTTGAACAAAATTTTCGATTTAGGGTCGGAGCTCACAGTCAAGCTACAGGAACGTAGGGACCAGCAGAAGTTGGATCGGATTATAGGGAAGATGTCGAAGTATGCTTCTTTTCCATGTCTTCTGAACTATGAATCACTAACACAACATCCAAGATCGCTTGAAGAAGAGAACAAAAAGATCAAAGCCATGCTTAAACAAGGATTTCCGCGTCAATTGGTTCGTAATAGCAAATATGCGGGGGAGCTCGTTTCCTGTAGTGTCAAAATCAAAGCTGCTCTTGATACATTTTTTGTATGTTGCTCGTGGTCTTTCCAACTGCATTTCATTGACCACAGTTAGCTTGGTTTAATGTTATCGATAGAGGGGAACACATGTGAAATTCTGGAGGTATTACGTCTTACGACCAAAATTGACATTAGCTCAACGATATTCTTTCAGCACCAAGTTTTCCAGTCCCTTCCCCGCTCCCGAGATGCAGCTTTCACTGCTGCTATTGACTTTGATAATATTCCGCGAGGGCCATGCACTAAGGATACCCGTGTTGATGTCATCAAACAGATCATGGACTGGGTAAAGGAGACTGACTCTAGAAAGGTGCCATCTGTTTACTGGCTCACTGGACTGGCTGGCTTGGGCAAAACCACAATTGCTTACACTATCTGTGAGGAACTAGAAGAAGCAAGCATTCCATTTGTCTCCTTCTTCTGTTCACGTCAACTTGACAGCAAGAATTCAAAGCTCCTCATTACAACAATCTGTCGTGACCTTGCTGAGCAATTTTCTGGATTTGCAAATGCACTTGTACCTGTTCTGAAGGGTAACTCTAGGATTGTAGACGCGAATCTGCCACTCCAGATGGAGAAGCTGCTTGCAGATCCATGGAAGGCATCTCTTGCCCACCATGACTGCCGTCTGGTGCCTGTAGTAATAGTTGATGCTCTTGATGAAAGTGATCATGGAACTCAGTTCTTCCAAGAGCTACTTAATCCTGTGAACTTGCATAAGCTCTCAGGGATCAAATTTCTTGTGACAAGTCGGCCAGAACCTGCATTCTCTTCATTGGGAAAATCATTTCCTTTGAATGCAGTTTGCAAGCTTCATGAGATTGATGACTCCAATGTTCAAAAAGATATTGAGAAATACTTGTTCTCTGCACTCCCAGATTTAAAGGAGGATCCTAATCTAGAAAAACTGGCAAGCCAGGCAGCGGGATTCTTCATCTATGCTGCAACTGCTGTGAGATTTATATCATCTCCTTGTCAACGTTGTCAACACTTCTCAGTTACTCAGAAGCACACAGAGTTACAAAATATTGTGACCTCATGGCCAGTATCGAGTAGGGGGTCTGAACGAAATGCTGTTGCTGAGCTGTATCAACAGATCCTGGGAGATGCTTTTTCTGATGACCGTATCTCTAATCAATGCTTGCAGATCCTCCACATAATCCTGTGTGCAGGGAGCAGGATCAGTATCTCTGTTATAGCTTCTTTGAGTGATACTGATCAGGAAACTGTTGAAAATACTGTGAAATCTCTGCATGCTGTCCTGTTTGTTTCTCCTAAAGATCAATGTGTATATTGGTATCACACTTCATTCCCTGACTTCATTTTCACTCAAGAACGAGCAATGTTCAGCATCATCCTGAAGGAAGGCCAATCAAGTCAAGAGATCAATGTGTTCTGTGACAAAGTTGCTCGTCATTCAATGCTGGCTTGTCAGTGTTTCATCATCATGAGAAAACTGTGTTTCAATATCTGTAACCTGAAGTCATCATTTGAGTTTGATTCTGATGTGCCAGGACTTGATCAGGAGAAGCTCAGAAATCTCCCACCTGTTTTACAATATGCATCACAACATTGGGCTACACACCTCTCTCAGGCAGCACCTGTGGATAATGATACCAATGAACTGTTGCAATTTCTTGATGACTTCCTGTGCAACAAACTATTGTTTTGGATTGAGGCTATGAATCTTATTGATGCTAAATTTGAATGTGCATCATTATTGAAGAATGCTGAAGAATGGGTGAATAAGGTAAGATATACACAATTTATCAATAAGAATAACAATAATGCTGTTCAGGGAACACAAAAACTGGACATGTCAGAATACTTGTTAGATGCTGCAAGTTTCTCAGCTTATTTTGCAAATAGTCCTGCATCAAAGTCAACTCCACATTTATACATTTCTGCATTATCTACCTGGAATCATTGTTCACCAATCTGCAACTATTGGAAACAGCAGTTCAGTTGTATTCCATCTATTACACTGTCCACAGCTAAAACAATTCCATTACTGACAATTACTACAACCAATAAATGGGTCTCATGTGTTGCACTGTCTGGGGATGGAAACCAAATTGTTTTTGGTTGTGAAGATCGTTCAGGTGCATTACAGATATGGGATGCAAAGACAGGCCAACAGCTACGGAATCTGCAGGGTCACACAGCTGCTGTTACATCTGTTGCATTTTCACCTAATGGCAACCAGATTGTCTCTGGTTCCTGGGACACCTCAGTGCGAGTATGGGATGCAAAGTCAGGCTACCAGTTAAAAAAGCTGAATCATCCTGACTGGGTCCTCTCAGCAGTGTTCTCACCTGATGGACACAAAATTGTCTCTGGTTCTCGGGATGAATTAGTTCGAATATGGGAGATCAAGACAGGCCGCCGGTTGTTGAAGCTGAAAGGTCACACTGAGTGGGTCCGCTCAGTTGCATTCTCACCTAATGGTAATGCTATTGTCTCTGGTTCTCGAGACTATTCGGTGCGAGTGTGGAATGCAGAGACAGGCCACCAGGACATGATGTTTCAAGGTCACATGGGTCAAGTTAAATCAGTCACATTCTCTCCTGATGGCAGGAAAATTGTTTCTGGTGCTTGGGATAATTGCATAAAAATATGGGATGCAAAGACAGGCCAACAATTGAAGGACCTGCAAGGTCATACTGGTCCCATAAATTCAGTTGCATTCTCACCTAATGGCAAACAAATTCTTTCTGGTGCTGGGGACAATTCAGTTTGTGTGTGGGATGTCAAGACAGGTGACCAGCTGGCAGAGCTACAGGGTCATGCTGGTCCTGTCCAATCAGTTGCATTTTCACACGATGGAAACTCTATTGTCTCTGGTTCTTATGACTGCTCAGTGTGGGTGTGGGATATAAAATTTAGCAGCTCACAGAGATTGCAAGGTCATACCAGTCCTGTCCGCTCAGTTATATTTTTGTCTGATGACCAAATTCTTTCTGGTTTTGAAAATGGGTTAATGAAAGTGTGGGATGCAAACACAGGCAAGGAGCTAAGGAGGCTGCAAGATACTAATTTTGGAGTCCTTTCAGTTGCATTCTCATCTGTTGGCCAAAAAATTGTCTCTGGTTTATTTAACGGATCAGTTTATGTGAGGGATGCAAAAACAGACCAATTGAGAAAATTCCAAGGTCACACTGGAATTGTAACATCAGTTGCATTCTCACCTGATGGCAATCTCATTGCTTCTGGTTCTAAAGATCAATCAGTGCGAATATGGAAGGCAAATGAAGGGCACCAGCTGAGAAATATGCCAGGCAACAATGGTGGTGTCCTATCAGTTGCATTCTCACCTGATGGCAATTTTGTTGTCTCTGGCTGTATAGACACAAGAGTGCAGATATGGAATGTGAACACAGGCCAACTGAGGAATATTCAAGGTCATTCTGATTCTGTACACACAGTTGCATTCTCACATGATGGCAAGTTTATTGTGTCTGGTTCTGAAGACAAGTCAGTGCGAGTGTGGGAAGCAGAGACAGGTCATCTTCTGTGGAGTATGCAAGGTCATACTGATACTGTAAGATCAGTTGCATTCTCACCTGATAGTAATCTTATTGTCTCTGGCTCTAAAGACAAGACAGTACGGATATGGGATGCAAAGACAGGTCACCAGCTGAGGAAGCTGCAAGGTCATTCTGCAGTTGTTTTTGCAGTTGCATTTTCATCTGATGGCAAACAAATCATCTCTGGTTCACAGGATTTCTCAGTGCGGTTGTGGGATGCAGTGATTGACCTGCCTGAATTCTTCACCAATGATAAAAAAATCATCTCTGGTTTAGACAACCAGCCAATACATGTGTTGGCTACTTCAGAGGTTGCAAACTCATGGGTTATGGAAGAAGGCTGGATACTCTCTGGTTCAAAATTACTAATTTGGATTCCACCACCTATTCGCAACATTCTGCATCATCCACATAGTCTTCTCATTATTTCTCCATTTGGCTCTGCCAAAATCTTTTTTGAGGGTAGCAAGCTAGGATCCTTTTGGCATGAGTGTTATACTCCTAATTTGTAATTCATATGTAACAATACTTGGGGTGATGTGTGTATGCAGGCAGGCAGAACTGTTAAGCTTACATTCATTGAAAGTGCCTTTATATTACAGGGGATAGTAGGTTTTAGTAAAAAAAATGTAACATTACAAAGTGCTTTATGAAAGAAAAAGATTCAAGGTTTTCTTCATATTTTTGACTTGTGAACAGGGTGTTGTCTTTGTAGGTAAGAAGCTGGCAAAGCCTCCTCAATGATATCATTTAACATGGAAAAGTTGAAGAGTAATGTTGGAAAAGCAGGTGAAGTACAAATGAGGTATGAGGTCACCTCGCTTTAGCAAGGTCTCCCAGTTTCATATCTCTCAGCAAACATTGAGTATGTAATCAGTTGCACCAAACATGTCACTCTTCTGCACAATTGTTAGAGTGTTGTGCAGGATACCCAAGGCGATGGATGCACTCACTTTGTGTCATTTTCTCCAGTGGCTTATGAGCCATATTCCAACCCGTCTGTAATGTATTGAATACTTCCATTCCCCGCACTCCTGCATCCTTCTGATGGTGTTGACATGTTAGATTGCAAATCAACCCTTTGTGTATGCTATTGTTGCCTTGTTCATCTTCACATGTCAGTTCGGTTTGTTGTGGCTTGTAAAACAAGTTATCAGCTTTTATTAGCTGAAGTCCAAACTCACTGTTGTGAAAACATTCAGAGGGTGGGCGCACAACACCTTCTACAGTGGTAATATACTGTTGCTCAAGGGTGAGAGGTGCAGGGTAACATACCTAGATGGAACAGAAGTTAGCAGTGCTGCTTCCATGGGTATCAGGGGCGCCTAAGTTGATGGGTGGGTGATGGTGCCCAAGAAACCATTTCGCAAAGCCTGAGCACCCCTGGATGCTGAGAGATTTCTGAGATCTTCACATTTAACAGCTTTAATGAATCCTGTTAAATTGGCAGATTTAAATCGACTTAATTCAGTCGAACCCATGGCAAAAAAATTATTGAATTGGTGTTGTAGAGAGTACAAGGTCAATGTCTCAAGAAATTGGACCTGTGATGCTCTGTCACAGCATGTCACTGGTCATCACACATACTGAGGATTGTGCACCACCATGAATTGTTTTATCCAAATTTAACTTGTCCAATAAATTTGTCCTAATTACATAAAAGGTTAAAAAATGATTACAGCTGAATGCAGAACGATAGGCCACGCCAGATCGACACATGCACAGGGCGGACTGTCAAAATTTCAAAGCAACGTGATGGCTGAGGCTGCTTAGTTCTCACAATGAGTGAAATTTCAACCTCTGAATTGATGTCACCATAGTATTAGCATCAGTACTTTCACATTTTACTTTTTCTACTTGTAGAAGCCAGAAAAAGTAGTGCTTGGAAGTTAGGTTAATTAACTGGAAAATAACCGAGACCAGACCGGACCTAACCACAAAAAAACCAGACTGCGGTTAGTGGTTAGTCAATTCTGGAAATGAAATAACCGGTTATTTTGCGGTTAACTAACTGTTAAAAAACCGGTTATGACCAGTTACAACCGACCCTATTATACCCCTTCAAAACGCATCTAAAAGCATGAGAAACACTAAAAATCTGACAGAGTTATGGTCAAATCTCTAAATTATTGGCTAAAATAGTAGGCTTTCAAGAATATTATTATAAAATTGTCAATTCTTCACCGAATTTAGCGTTCTTGGGCTTGTTTTAAAGCTACGACGCATGGCAATAATGTTTACTGCAAGGAATATGAGAAATATACGCTGTTTTAATCGATTTTCTATTTTTTCGGTCCTAACCGGTTAGTAACTGCAACTAACTGGTTTTCATCGGTTATCTTCGGTCCAGTTAGGTTATTTTGGGTCTGGGAACGAACCCTAACCGGTCTCGGTCTCGGTTAGAGCCCCTGGGCACCCAATAACCTAACCTAACCGGACTTTCAAACACTAAGAAAAAGCCAGAAAAAGCTGATAAAAAGTTGGAAAAAGCAGAAAAGCCACAAATACAAAAAGCCAGGCTCAGTATGCTGAAAAGAAACTAATTTTGAATGCATTCAGGTTGGCATGGGTTTTATTTCAATAGATGTATTTCCAACTTTCCAGCTTTTTGACTTGTGGCAAGTCAAAAAGTGGGGAAAAGTAGATAAGTAAATCATGATCTTGCTGATGTATGGTGACATCTGAGGGTCCGCTCTACGCATCTGTCGATCTGGCATGGCCTATCGTTCTGCATTCAGCTGTACTGTGGTATTTCGACCGACTGTTCGGCCAATGTGACGTGTGACAGCCCGAGGTGTGTTCGAAATCAGGATAGGCCGATGTGACGAGTGACCCTCAGTAAAAACGGTTGGTCAGGTGTTGGTCATTTAGTAGTCACGCCAGTACACGAAAATGTAAGACATGACTAAAAGCAGTAAATTTTACAAAATTTTGACTTCAAGTCGACTTCACGAAGTCGTGTCAAGTCGTGTGGTTTCCTTTCCAGATGCCAAATATATGTATGATACAGTCATGTGGTAGTCTGCACTTAGTCTAGTCACCCTCATCTGAAGGTCAATGGTTAGTCATGAAATCCCGACTTCATAGTCCTTTTGTAGTCAAACAAAAGTCAGATGCTAGTTATGCTATAGTTGTGTAGTAGTCTTGTTCCAGTCATGCTCAAGTCACGTAACTGAGATGTGTTAGTCATCTATTTCTCTCAGGTAATAAATAGTCTTCTCAGCGTCAAGTCATGTAAACGTCAAAATCATAAATAAGCATGTATATACACCCTTCTAATCTAGATTGAATCGACGACTTGCAGTATAAATTCCCCATAAATGCGTAAACCTCGAGCGGCACCTTCGTATGACATCAGGCTTGGGTATATACATCAACCACGTCAAGTCCAAATTCTCGTCTCCTAATCATAAACCTCGTGCAGCACCATTTGTCGAGGTAGGGGGAAGGCCGAGACCGTTCATCGAGATAGAGGGGGATGCCAATCAAAGAAGGGAGGAGGCCATTGAGCTAGTTAGGAGGAGACCATTGGTAAAAGGAGGAGACAGTTCATGGGAGGAGACACGTCGTTGACGGAGGCAACAGTTCATCGAAGGCGAGAACAGGTCGTCGAGGAGACACATTGTTGATGGAGGCGACAGTTCGTCGAAGGCGGAAACAGGTCGTCGAAGGAGGAGACAGTTCGTCGAGGGAGGAGACAGGTCGTTGAGGGCATACAAAGTTCGTTGAGGGAGGAGACAGGTCGTTGAGCTTGGAGCTTAGAAACCAATCGTTGATGGGATACCAGTTGTTGAGGGAGGAGACCAATCATTGAGGGAGGAGACGGAGGAGACCGTCTGCGGAATGAGGAAATCATTCGTCGAGAAAGGAGGCCATTAGTCAAGGGAGGGAAGAGGCCTTTTGTCATCTCTACCTAGGGAGGAGACCCTTCGTCACGAGAGGAGGCCGCTGGTCGAGGGAGAGAGAGGCCATTCGTCATCGGGAGGGAGAAGGCCGTTCGTCATCGGGAGGGAGAAGGCCGTTCGTCGACTTATGAATTGGAGCTTGCGTGGGTGTGGTGGGAAGGAAGAACTCAGATATTCGTGCTGACAGAAGATTCAACATGATCACCTGATGTCGGAGTTTCAACGGACTTCAACAAATTGTGACTTGTTCACTCGCCTGTTGACATCAAGCATGTGTGAAAAAGAGGACGAAGGCGATAGAAATCAGATGATGAGGACTACACTACAACATGACTTGTAACTGACTATTCCTCGACTTCAGTTAGGCCATGAAATTTTGGCAGATACATAACTGAGTGCCACATGACTTGCACTTACCAACACAACTTCACATGACCTTCTTGTGAGGGGTAGATGACTTGATCTGACTTTCGTTTTTACTGAGAGTGACCGAACAGTCGGTCGAAATACCACAGTAATTTGTCCAGCAATTTTTCAAAGGCTTCGCTTAACTGCCCGACCGTCCCTTGTTTGAGGTGTACGCTCTTTTAATTCTTTCTTGCGTGCCTTTCATTATCGCCTGCAACGATGCTGCAATAAGTACAGTTATTTCCCTTGATTTAAGCCAATGAATGTTAAATTCGGTAAATTGCGCCCATCACCGGATTCTGATATCTGTGAGAAATCACTCGCTTATTCGTCCCTGCTTCGACTGTTCGACTAGTCCCTTGTCCCCTCTGTGATACTTAGCGCCTCAAAAATACTTCCCTGTCGTGTCGTTGCTCGCCTTTCATCTGTTTCACGCTTTTTTAACCATACCCAGGCAGAGTAAGGTGAGTAAGCACGTCGTCTTCTACACGCGCTGAACTGACGACTTTTTCTTCTCGTGTCGCAACCGATCTCGCTTCCCTTGAAGCCAGATGAGTCCCTGATCTATCTAGGAGATTCACATCATCTCTCCAACATGGTCCGTCGCCCAGACTCATCTCCTGCTAGGCTATACACCAAGGCTGCCATTCCTCAACCTTTGCCAACGCGATCGTGTTCCGTCATGTCCCAGCCTACTCCTTCACAAACAGCTGACGACACGTTGGAGACCTCGCCTCTACTCCAATGGGAAACCCATCTCCCAACGCTGGCACGATACATCGCGTGCTTTTCCGACTTTTTCACCAACCTATGCCCACGGTCTTCCTCCCACTTTCATTGAGCAAACTCGTCCCTGGGCCAACTACCATGGGCACGGCGTCTTTCTTCTCCGACAAGCGCATTCACGGTGTTGGTGATGTAACGGTATGTATTCTTCTTCCCTCCATTTTGAGCCTTTCAATGATAATCATCGCTTCTAGTGACTCGTCGCACTCTCCTTCCTCTTTCCAACAGCCAATCACACCTCTTCTCTTGCCATTGAGCTCCGTCGTGGCTCTCCCCTCGATCTCCGTGACTTTGTCTGCTTCAAGCTCAAGAGCAGCACCTCCAACTTGCAGGATGTCCATGTCTTTGGCCACCACACCGACATTCCCGTTACCGAGTTCATTCGCCGCGCTGAGGTAACGTAACTAATCTCTTCCAAATTTTGTAGTCTAACATTGTCTCTAGAATGCCCCCACATCCGGTCGTGCTTCCGAATCCAAGGTGGTTTCACCGGCGCATTCCTCTTCATCGGTTTGCTCAGTCTGTTCTTCCTCCACAAGCTCGTCGAGCGTGTCCGTGCTTGTGGCGAGCCTCGTCTCAGACTGGAGGGTGGTGAAGTGAGCATTATATCAATAGGCACTTTATGTAGAGATATATTGCTTAAGGATGATATACATATATTCACGGAATGCTCTTGTATGCTACATACACTATGCTACCCTTTCATTTGAATGCTAGATCTATTTTTGAATGCAGGGGAACCGTTCTTAGTCAATCTCGTACCTGAGCACCAGGAGATTGGGAAGTGACTGGCCCGATGAACACCGGAGACCCTTTAATCAGCCAGCTCATTGGGTGTAGCTCTAAATTGAACCAGTTGGCATCAAGGGCTCTTAAATCCAATAAATTGAACCAGATTTAAGCTAAATTGAACCCACATAAGCATTTATTTCAACTTATTCGTTCAACTTTCACTTATTTTGAGGTATATGGGTTGTCCTGAGCTGTTCTTTGCTCACTCCTGGGCTCAAACTTCAAAATACATGTCAATTTAATTTATAATATGCATGTACAGCAAATACATATTTTGTGCAAGGATGGAGATGGTGCTGAGGCTCACCTCGTGAGCATGAGGAAGGCCGACGCGTTGACGCGTTTGGGTCATGTGATCTAAAACGTGCCCTTCAGCTTCGTTGAATCGGTTGATGCAAACACGACAAGTGCACCCACCTAACAGCAAACCCGCAATGCCTTCTGTTGGCCCACCCAGACTGCCCTGCACAAAGCCACAACTTGAATTTGGACACCTTCCCTCGTCGTCATTCCCATTCTGCACTTCTTTTGGCTATTATCAAGCAATTCAGCCATGTCAATTCACCACTGTCTCACATTCTCCGACATCGTCTACCTCAACCATCACGATGGGTGTTCCTGGGATCTCTAAAGTAAGATATTTTTCAACTTGACTGCTTACCTTGAAGTTGACGTACTTTAGATTTTGGAGCCGGCGCGGCGTGTGCAAACTCTGACCGAGTTTGCAACAAAGGAAGGCTTTCAGCTGAATCCACATGGCGACAACATGGTTCGTGTTGGCGTTGATGTAAGGTATGATTTTCTTTTTCTTTCTTCATTCTTAACCAAAGCTGATCATATATCTATGTCCTAGTGTCTGGATCTGCCAAGCTCAAGCCGCCGCACATTCCATGCCTAGGACACAACAGGGTGAAAATCCAGCCCTCCGCATAATTTTTTTCCGCATCTGCCACCTCCTGGCTCAGTCTATCCAACCCATTTTCGTTGCGGATGGCCCCAATCGCCCTCGCGTCAAACGTGGAATAAATGTCAGGGCCGACAAGCCGCACTGGATGGAAGCTTACATTGAGGATTTCGTTCAAGAAGCTGGGTGCCCCATGTATCGCGTGCGTAGTTCTTTTACAGCATTTTTTTGATTCTTTTTCGTTGACTCTCGTTAGGCCCCAGGAGAGGCTGAGGCCGAGTTGGCTCAGCTGACGGCACATGGTCTCATCAAGGCTGTTCTCACCACCGACTTTGATGTGTTCCTCTTTGGGGGCACATACATGATCAAACCGTAAGCTCATCCTTTCGTTAAGTCAACCATCTCCTAAGCTTAATACACTTCTAGCCCCAACGTAAAAACTGATGGAGACAGAATCACATACTACACGTCTGGTGACATTCAAGCACAGACATCCCTCACGTGCGCCAAGTTAATTTTCATCGCTATTCTCGGTGGTGGCGACTATGACCAGGTGCGTTATCATGGTGGATGTTTTCTGCTTGCTTACTGACCACTCGTCCAGGTTGGCCTCCCTGGGTGTGGTCTCAAGATAGCTCATCAACTGGCTCAGGGGGAACTCCCCAACTTACTTTTCACGGCTGCCACTACGCTCCCTCAACATGATCTCGAAGACTTTCTTCACGATTGGCGCAACAAGCTCATGAATGAGCTACTTCGTGATCCACACGGGCTAATGAACGCGAAACACCCTGCACTAGCCCAGAACATCCCTTTGGGCTTTCCCAAGCTCGACACCCTTCAGTTGTACATCTCTCCAGTCACCTCTTGGTCGCAGAATGGCAAGGGCCCTGATACCACATCATGGACTCTCTGCCAACTCAATCTAGCCAAGCTCGCAGTCCTCTGCGAGAAATCTTTTTCGTGGGGATCTGCCGGCGTCATCAACGATCGCTTTCAAAAGAATGTATGGCCGGCAGCCGTAATGCGAATGCTGCTCAAGGTAAGTCACACGCAATCTCTCCTGAATATAACACTGATACCCCTGCAACAGCCTGTTGACACTCCCGGAACAATCGACGAGCAGCTCTCACGCTCCTCCCTGCTACACATCCGGCAGAGGAAGCTTGGACCGGGCGGCCCAGCTACAGGTGCCAACGTGGACGGCTTCTCCGTCGAGACGGCAACATTGGCTCTTGCCCGTGAAACTGCCTCCAACCTCGACGAGAGTATCCGCAAAAAGACACTTCAGCAAATGCGGGAGCCCTTCTACCCATGGATTCCATCACGAATTCTCAAACGAAAGGTTCCCGCTCTCACAAATGAATTTGGCGCGCGCACGCGTAAGAGAAAGAAACCTCGCCAGCAGCGGTGGATTAGTTCGGACTCTGTATGTATACAAAAGCGCTTCACTCTATCATTGTAACTAATGTTCTCTGATAAGGATGATGGAGTTGTTATCATTCCTGCAGCTACTGCGAATGCTGTTGCCTCAAGCTCTCGTGCGACCCTCGCTCCCAATGTGATTGCCTCAAGCTCCACGATGGCCCTTGCTTCTGCTGCGGGTTCATCTCTGAACCCAATCACTGTTGACGAGGATGAATCAAAGGGAGGTTTCCTTGGTTTTATTGATCTAACTTAGTATGAAGTTCGAGATGTAGCGTATTTTAATAGCTTAAAGCCAAATTGTATTTGTACGTTCTCCCAATCAGGTTTAGCTTATGGACCCACAACGAAGTGATGAGGCTAGCTAGTTTGGGTTGCTGGCAAAAAAGTGATCAACGGTGAACTTGTAAGCTGAAACATGGGTCAGATATTGGGTACACTGGTGGAATTGAGTCTATTTCATCCTATCCTACTTGACTATGGGCCGGAGGGCACGTACAAAAGTATCTGCGGCTACTGCCAACACAGAAACTTCAAAAGTAACGCAAGACGTCGCTGCTGCAAAGCCAAAGCGTGCGCCAAGGAAGCCTCGGGTGAAGGCAGCACCACTCGCGTCACTACAGGAAACCCGAAATGTCCAGGTGAAGGAAACGACTGCGGTGAAGAACACAGATAATGCCTATGATGGTCACTTGGACAGAGGCATGAGATTCTTAAAGACTCTGATTGAGGACAGGCGTGCGAGAGGCGAGGACATTTGCAGTCAGGGCATCTCGACAGACGAGTTCGAAAAAGCATTTGACAAACCTCCGAACAAATACTCCGCGATGGCAATTGAGATGTTTATCGTGCAGAAGTGCTTCATGCAGAACTTGGGAAAGGATACTGGCTATGGGATCCAAGGCGCCTTCGCAAGGTACTGGGATACAATGTAAGCATAATACGTTGATTGATAAAAGCCTTTCCTGACAACCCAATAAGGGATGGTGACAAGTACGCAGGTACTAATTACCAGTTCGACGACAAGACAGGAGAAGCGAAGGGTTGCCCTGCTCGTGCCCCGGCTGTCATGGCCGTTCTGCATGCAGTGAAAGTCAGAGCTGCTGAGAAAGGCCATGCAGCCGTACGCAACCACGCCGAGGCGATAACAATAGAAGAGGTACAAAAGATTATGGAATGGTCGGAGAAAACATGTCCCGATGATTTGCTCACCTTGCCTGTTGAAGATCTTGAAACCTTGATGTTCCGCACTGAGCACGCACTCATGCGAGCATTTATTAGCTCAGCATTTACACTGTGGACAAGGTCTGTGGCTGTTTCTCGATCTCCATTGATGGTTACCTGCTCAGAGTTTTCATAATGGTAATAGGTGCTTTGAGCTGCTCACCTTGCAAGACCGGGACATAAAGGATGATTGTGTCGGGCCTGCACCTTACTACATCCCGCACTTCAAAGTTGTCCTCGAAAATAGGAAGGGGTGGCAACATGCTAAGGGCTATGATGGACCACGGACTGGTGAGTAGACCCGAACCATAGCTGCTCCCTGGTGGCTCACCGTGCTGATTTCTATTCCAGGAAATATCTATGATATTTATCGTCAGGACATTCCCGCAATTGACATGAATTCGCACCTTCCAAAGTGGCGCGCGTATCTCCAGAAGCTTCAACCCAACAGGAAAGTTGAAGCTGACGATTATTTGTTTCCCTACATCGCGCCAAATGGATTGATCCACCCTAAGCGTGACATGAGTTATGATCTCCTGCAAGGGTTACTCACCAAGTTTGCGGCTGCTGCTGGACTTCAAAAGCACTATACAACGCACTGCTTTCGACGTGGAGGTGCACAATACAGGTTTATGTTTGCACCTGTCGGAAAGCGATGGCCGTTGAGCTGGATCCGATGGTGGGGTGGATGGGCGATTGGGGAGCACGTAAGTACACATGGCTTCAAGGCGAGCTGTATTGTTCACACGAACTGTCAAGGTCGACACATTGATGAAATATCTACTCGACTCACTCCAGAGCTTCGAGACAGGGCATGGCAATGTGCTGCATCCGATCCCCCTCGGTGCAGACCAGAGCTTCATGGGAGAACACCTTGCAACGCAACCTGCATCAGGTGAGCAGGTGCAACAGATCAGTGAGCGTGTCGACCGCAAGCTGGATGAGATGATGAGAACAATCACCACCACTCTCAGCTCCCGCGCCGAGCATGCGCCAGACATTCCGAATCCATCGATTTCATTCATTGGACCTGAATGTGTGTCGCATACGCACTTGCGAGCATCAAGGGCCATTTCCGTGCCCTACACTTTGCCCAACATCACGGAGTCCACCAATGCCAGCCGTGAAACCTCACCTTCCGAGAGGGGAACATCAGAACCCGCCACAGTCATATCACCCAGGTTTCGACGCTACAACTTTGCAATTCCTGATCTCGGAAGAGCTCCCGGTGCATGGCAAAGAGCCATCAAACAATGGGAGGAGGTTGATCCTATCACGAATCACGCACTGAGGGACTGGCCAAAGGAATGGTACGAGGGCAACAGTGCCACGGCGAGCAAGCGGAACCAGCGAAAGACAATCTTTGAGGAATATGTTAGGTATGCCGCTCCAAATTCCAATTGCGGCGCACTGATAGATTTGGTTTTCTTGATCAGTTTGGGCCGGGACAAGAACAAGTTCATTAGCAAGTACCCAGACGCTGACAAGAGCATTTCAAAGCTCTTGGAAGCCATCAGATGGAACAATGGCACCACGCGTTCCAGCAAATACGGGACAGCGAGCGAGCGCAAATCCAAGTCCCCCGCTGAAAGTTCTGAGCGCGCTGCAAGCCAAAATGAAATGGTTGTAGACTGAACAAAAAAGACCTCCTGTAGTTGGGTCTGTCTGGGGAAAGGAGGGGGTATATTATCATCTTTTAATGTCTAAACTCCGTAGGTATTTGTCTCATAAAAGTCGCCACTTTTCGTACAATCGTTTCACATCGTTCAAGAGGAAGCAGTACCTCTCTTGTGGACACTACGAGACCTCAATAACCAGGTAAACAAAAATTTCGGAAGCCAATTATTATTATCTGAAAGACCCAAGCGAAAAACGGCTGGTCCTTCGTTCCGCCGCGTAGAAAAGGAGAGGGGAGGAGAAGGGGGAGTGCTGTGGGAAGCGCGCGCCTACAGCACGTGATTGGACCCTGAGCTTCCCCATTTGGGCTGAATCCGGGGAATCCCGTTAAATCGGCCCACATAAGTACTAAGCTGATGAGGTGGTGTCTCGTTGTGGTGACTTGCCGAGACTCGGCAGGTATCCAGTGACGTAAATGTGGTTACGAGTTGGTAAGTATGTCACCCCCTGAGATTTTTGAGTTGGGGTTGTAGCTCTTGGTCGTAACCAGCTCGCCAGCTTCCTCGTCAACGAGCAGGCCATGCCCCTGAACTCCCCTCTTCCCTCTCCCATGGCTATCACAAAGCTGCCCTCTCCATCCATGTTCAAAAAACGCTCCTCACCGTCCCTCGCATCCGCCGCCTCTTACCTCTCCGCCCTCTCCCAAGCAGACGCACGAGCACGCGGCGTAAACCGTTCCGCCTCGCCTACCTCCACTCCGGCACTCTCCCTCTCCTCGTCCGTCACCTCCTCCTCGGAGGACACCGTCCTGCACGAGTTTGACGTAGACGACAACGCGGATGGCCTTGCCCTCCCCGCAAGACCACCAACCTCTGAACAGGTGTTCACAACTGTTCATACCGAGTTTGGACATTGTGCAGATGAGGCGTATCGGTTGACGTCCCAGCACACTCCTGGCGCCGAGGTTCCGGCCCATGTGGATCAAGACCCGCCTTATTATATTCTCTTCTCAACGTATATAAGTTATCTCATCCTTATCTGCCTTGGCCATGTTCGCGACTTCGTGGGCAAAAGGCTCAGTCCTAAATCTTACAAACATTTAATACCCCGAGACGTGAGTTCTCCATTCCCCCTTTACTCATCTTTTCTCCTTCAACTTTGGATTTGAAACAAATGCTCATGGACGAACACAGGGATACGCACCTCTCAATTCCGATTTCGACTCGTTCTATACCCGCCGCCTCAAAACACGCATGGACGAATGTTTTTCCCAACCCGTCACAGGTGTCGCAGGCCGCACCATCCTCCTCCTCGACCGTCTTTCCCCAGATTACAACCACACCCAAGTCTTCACGGGCACGAAAACCCGCGCACTCAATATTTCTTCGTACAACTACCTCGGCTTTGCACAAGCCCGTGGGGGCTGCGCGGATGCTGTGGAAGAGTGTATCAAGCGGTATGGCATCTCCACGTGTGGTTCGCGTCTCGAAGGCGGTTCGAGTGATCTGCATACGATCAGCGAGGCGCTTGTGGCGAAATTTGTGGGTATGGAAGATGCGTTGATCAGCTCTATGGGTTTTGCGACCAATTCGACGTATATCCCTGCGTTGGTGGGCAAAGGGTGCCTTGTCATTTCGGATGAACTCAACCATGCGTCTATTCGGTTTGGGGTGAGGATTAGTGGAGCGAATGTCAGGATGTTTAAGCATAATGATATGGGGAGTTTGGAGGCTCTTTTGAGGGAGGTTATTAGCCAGGGCCAGCCAAAGACGCATAGGCCGTGGAAGAAGATTTTGATCATTGTCGAGGGGCTTTATAGTATGGAAGGTACACTCGTCAACCTGCCAGCAATTTTGGAGCTCAAGAAGAAGTACAAGGTGTGTTTTCCGTTCTTTTCTATTTTTTGTTGAACCTTCTTAACGTTTTGAGGTAGTTCTACTTGTTCGTCGACGAAGCCCATTCCATTGGTGCTCTTGGCCCGCACGGCCGTGGTGTTGCAGACTACTTTGGAGTCAACCCCCGGAGCATCGATATCCTCATGGGAACATTTACAAAATCCTTTGGTGCAGCTGGAGGGTACATCGCTGGAAACAAGACGCTCATCGACAGGCTTCGCGTACATGGACACTCTGGTGCCTACGCAGAAGCGATGACGCCCCCTGTGCTGACGCAAGTCGTTGCGAGTATGGCTAGTATCATGGGTATCGCTGTCCCTTCTACCCCCTCGTCAGGGACGTTGCGCATCACACATTCTCCGTCGTCCTCTACGTCGGTTGCAGCAGAAGAGTACCAACACCCCGGCCCAGCACCACATAACAGCCTTCCTCCCTGGATCCAACTCCCCTCTTCCCTCGCATCAGGATCAGAAGGATCCACCCGTCTCCGCCGGCTCGCCTTCAACTCTCGCTACCTGCACAATGGGCTCATCAAACTAGGCTTCATAACCTACGGGCACCCCTCCTCCCCCATCGTCCCCCTCCTGCTCTTCAACCCCGGCAAAATGAACATGTTCCACCGGATGATGAAAGATCGGCAAACGCCTATTATAGTGGTTGTAGTTGCGTACCCTGCTACGCCGCTTGTGACGAGCCGGGTGAGGTTTTGTGTTAGTGCTGCGCATACGAAGGAGGATGTGGATTGTGTGTTGAGGGCTTGTGATGAGATTGGGGATGTGCTTGATTTGAAGCATGGGTTGGGGAGGGGGGAGAGGTGGGGTGTTGAGAGGGTTTTGGGGAGTGCTGTTGAGTTGGCGGGGATGTAGAGTGGGTGAGGGGTGATGCATTGATGACTGATGACTGCGTGATGTTGGCTTTCGAATTCAAGTTTTAATGATGACCCCCCGTTTCACCGATCTGCTATCTATCCACTGTTGTTCTTTTTACGCACCGGTTACATAATGTTACGCTGGTTACTTACGACAACTTGCACTCCATATACTTTTTTTACAATTCAAGTACATATCAATTTTTTGTTTTCGATTCTGACGAGCTCGTCTACGTAGATAAAGATTTTAAAGTATCTATGTTTGTTCAATCTATGGAGAGGAAGGCAAGGTGCGAGGGGAGAAAATCCTTGTGACAATGATTTTTCTTTCAAACGATCATGCACCATGGGCCTCATACAGAACTTCTCCTCTCCTTCTGCCATTCCACTCAAACCACTCTGAGACATGTAAATGCAAGAATATAAATTTCTTTGTTGCCTCCATTCTGAAACCACCCCGTCCCGACTCCAATCCAAAAGATCCTGGACCTTGCTGTAGCTTTCTCGCAACAGGCCTCTGGCAGCTTTCATTGAATCCAACAAAGTACTTCTGAACCTTGTCGGTATTTCTGCGCATCCTAACCCCCCCCCCCGCTTCAGACAATTTGCCCCCCATTGACCAACTTAGAGGCGTTTCCGCACATCACACCACTATGGCCTCCAATGACAATTGCCAACCGACCGAGGAAAGCGATTCCGCGCATCGCATCATCATCACCCCGGTGTCCAGTGACAATTACCAACCGATTGAGCCAAGCGATTCCACGGATCACATCACCTCTGCCTCCGATGATTCTGAAGTAACGGGGGATAGTCGACGCCTCGTCATCGGGCTACTGGCTTCGACCGCGCTCAGGCCCAATCACTGGCAAGCCACGGACTTCGTGGCGCTCTATGCCCTGCTTGACTGTTCAGAAGAGAATAGCTCGTGGCTTTGTGGTGAAGAGATCCGTAACGGCCCTGGTTTTCTGCTCGGGGACCCATCTTGCAACGGGATAATGTTCGAACCACCACCGTTTGAAGAAATCTTCGATACAGCAGAGCCAGTCGGAAAGACCAGAAAACTCGTAGAATTCCGCTGCGCTTACCTTCAGCGCATACGGGACTGCGTACCTTGGCTTAATTCTCATGATACCTTATTTCTTGTAATCTGTGGGCGTGGTTCAGAATTGGGAGTTGTGTTTTTGGGCAACGCATACAATCACATCACCCTTCATCCAGCGGAACTGGAGTGCGCTTTAGAGGACTGTGTCGCCAAAGTTTACCTCATTACTACTGCTTGCTTTTCGGACTCCTGGAAAAGTCAGCGATGGACTCTTATTGCACCTGGAGTAGATCAGGAAACAGTGTCGATTGCAGAGTCGGACTCTGGCCATTTTCGCGGTGGGGTCTTCACCAGAGCCTTTTTAGCAGAGCATGCCGACCAGCATGAACAAATTGAACATGACTTTGTGCCCCCTCATCAGGAACAGCGACATCTGATGCCCTTGCTGCCGCACAAGCGTACCTCAGAAGTATTAAAATGGTTGCATCGACTGCAAGATGACATGGGACAAAACGATTTCCCAATCTCCCCACGTCGGGAAGATGATACTTTTTGGAAACTTTTGTTGGCCAGTGATCTTACAAGCTCTCCACTGGCAACCATTCAGCAGAATAATGTTCAGCCACCATCATCTGAAGCCGCACCTGCCTCTGGTGGTGACTCATTGCCAAACCTGCAAAATAAAAATGAAAAGGTGCTCCTCAGCCTTGCTAGGGACCACCTTCAATTTGCACCACCAGAGACCCTCAGTGAAGTCTGCCTTTTCCGCAATTGCAATGCTCTCGTGAACAATCAACACCGTCTTTATGGGTCACTTACAGCTGAGGAGAAAGCTGAGACCCTGAAAGTTCTCAGGCAGAGGCACAATTACCGGTTCCTCGCATGCAGCATTTCTCAAAAGCTGGGATGGCAAGATGCCGTCATAACAGTTGGCTACCCCTTCGACGAACAGCGAGAGCGGGACCACAACTTGAGTCTACAAGCTCGGGCGGCGGACCACGGCTACCTTTTCTGGAATCTCCATGTATTGCAATTCAACACGCTGTGGAAGGGTGTTGCAGGATGGCTTGCAAGAGTCTGGGAAGCTGCCGGGGAACCTACGATAAATGCAAAGAAGTGGAAGGAAACTTTAGAGGATTGTTCTGAGTTTGCTGGTATCACATTAAATTCTGCAGAATAGATTTTAAGGCCTTTTGAAGACAACACAAAGTACTTAGAATGTGGTGGCAATAACTTTTTTGCTTTCGATCACTGACATTGACCAAATCCAGGCAACTAAAATCTCATCTAATCTTTCCTTCACCAAAAACATGCAGGCCGAAATGCAGGCTCTGCCTACGACGCAACTCGAACCGCAGGCTCAGTCCATTCCGGTGATAAGTTATCCAGCGGGAACGGCTCCAGTTAAAGCAGAGTAAGCTCAAAGTTACGGTACACTACTAACGAGTCGACCTCACTAACAACCCTCTTATTCACTTTAGATACCTGGTCTCGATCAAACCGCCCAACCTCCCCGTGCCAGACGACGACGCAGCAGAGGGTACCACCTCGCGTGGATACACTCGCGATGGTAATGCGCGTGCAAACGAAGAAGGGAGCGCAAGGCCCGGCGCACCCATGCGCAAAGCTATGACGAAAGAACAAAAGAAAGCTTCAAGGGGTGCGAATAAGGGGCGGAGGTTTGGGAAAGTGAGGGATGAGCTTGAGTTATGTTGGAAGATTGCTAATGGGGGTGGATGTGAATTTGGGGATGGGTGTGTTTTCGCTTTCCTTTTCTTTCCGTACGAATCTGCTGAAAGGAATTTTTTCTGTCTTTTTTTGTGTAGGTGCCGATTTACGCACGACGTCGATGCCTACCTCGCTGCTAAACCTGCGGATCTGCGTGTGCCCAGTGTTGATGAGATATCAGAGGAGCCACCTTTCAATGTTCGTACTTTGGATGGGGCCAGTGCAACCCCGCATCCGAAGTATCCGAGTCTTGATATGAGCACTGTGTGTCCTGTTTTTGCGGAGACAGGGGAGTGCAGGTATGTCTTTGCCTTTCTAAGTGAGGCTTTTAAATTTGGCTTACAATAATTCACTAGATACGGGTTGAAATGCCGTTTTCTCGGAGGCCACGTACGTACAGACGAGGAAGGGAACGTCGTCTTGCTGGGAGACGAAGACAAAAAGGCTCGTTCTGCGTTGACGGCGCATGAAGTGAACTTCATAGGACCGGAGGCGCAAAAATTGCTGAGGACGAAAAAGGTTTCCCCTCTTTTTTTTGGGTTGGAATGCTTATGTATAATATGAAAAGTACGGGTTCCCCATTGCCAAAGAGTATTTGAAGGAACTACAAGATGCAGAAGCGAAGGAGAGTAAACCGAAACCTGTCCCGGACGAGAAGTCGGTTGTGGTTGAGGAGCCTGTGCAGGATATGGAGGTGGACCTTGATGCTCAACAACCACAATTGGAGAAGCCTACCGTTCAGGAGATCATCGAAACTCGAACGGGGACAGATGAAGTCATGTCGGCTCAGGATTCGCCTGATGTGTCTATTCGATTCGCGGAGAAGAAGAGATTGCACTGGGCTGGGAAAACTTGTATGTGTACCGTTTTCAATTTTTATTTGGAGGCTGGCTGAGCTTTTGGGAGTGTAGATTTGGCGCCTTTAACTACTGTCGGGAATCTCGTAAGTGGATGCTGGATTTCTGCTATGACAAGTAGGATGACCCACCTTCCTTGCAGCCTTTCCGTCGACTTTGCGTACAACTAGGGGCTGAAATCACTTGCGGGGAAAGTATGTCCTGTTTGTTTTGAGTGAAACAAATAGCAAAACTGATTTTGATCTTCGAGTGGGACTCGCAAACTCGTTTTTGGCTGGCTCAAAAGAAGAGTGGTCACTCGTTCGAAGGCATCCTTCAGAGTCGATTTTCGGAGTGCAAGTTGCAGGCAACAAGCCCGCCAATTTGGTACCCACGGCTGAAGTGATCGCGAAGGAATGTGCGGGGGGCATCGACTTTGTAGATGTGAATTGTGGGTGTCCGATAGATCTTGTTTTTAGAACGGGGAGTGGGTCTGCTTGTACGTTTTCCTTCGTAGCCTTACTTTTGGGTGTGGCTCATGTTCCTTTTCAGTGCTTGATACGGTGGGGAAGTTGGGGAAGATCCTGATTGGGATGAATAAGGCGTTGGGAGAGATTCCTGTTACTGTGAAGCTGAGAACGGGGGTGAAAGACGGGAAGAATACGGCTCATAAGCTGATGCCGAGGTTGTCTACGGAGTGGAATGCAGGATGTATCACGGTAATTTGATCTATCTACCTTCTTCGACCGTATTGCTCATCGCAAGCACTAGCTTCATGGGCGAACAAGACAACAGCGTTATACCAAACTGGCGGATTGGGATTACATCAAGGAGTGTGTTCGGGCTGTACGTGCACAAGAAGCGGATGAGGATTGTATGTACTCATTCGTTTCTGTCTCCGGGTGTTACTGATGCTCCCCTTTAGTACCCCCTGTACCAATATTTGGTGGAGGCGACTGTTTCTCGTCATACGACTATTGGACGAACGTCGAGAACACGGGCGTCGATGGTATTATGGTCGGACGAGGAGCCTTGATCAAGCCTTGGATTTTTACGGAAATCAAGGAACGTCGGGAATGGGACATAAGTGCAAGAGAGCGCTTAGAGCTGATCAGAAACGCAAGTGGTTCTGCTCTCTTCGTGATAGATATCCCTACTGACCTCTCTTCGCACTACTTGCAGTATGCTGAATACGGCCTAAAGTTCGTCCAGGTCTTTTGTGTTGTTGTGGAGGAACTGATTGATACGTCCTTAGTCATTTCGGGTCTGACACAGCGGGTGTGAACGCCACACGCCGTTACCTATGCGAAGCCCTATCCTTCCAGTACCGCTACGTACCTATTGGTCTCTTGGAGTGCCTACCAGGGAGGATAAAGGATCGTGCACCTGCTTTCTGTGGGCGTAGTGAGCTCGGTATGTTCACTGGTGTTTTTCGTGGTCCATGAACACTAATTGTCTTTTTTCCAGAAACGCTTCTTTCAAGTCCGGACAGCCAGGATTGGGTGAAGGTGTCTGAGATGTTCTTGGGACCTGCTCCGGAGACGTGGAGCTTTACACCAAAACATAAGAGTAATGCGTATGGAGGTGAGGAGGGCCAAGGGTAGTGTATTACTTGGGTGAAAAATGAATGTAACATCATGTTCGACAAGGGTCGTTACAAGGTCGTTACGCGTCACTGGGGCTGTGACCTCATATCTACTGGTTCCTCTTGCCCATTTCTACTTCGCCCAAATATTCTATCAGCTGCGCCTTCAGACCCTGTTATGCAACTTTTACCAGAGGAGGAACAAGAACGGGAGAATGGTGATCTTTTGGCTTCGATAGGGAACGTCGCCACAGACGTTGCGCGCCGAGTCCTCCGAAAGCACAAGGGAGACATGGAAAAAGCTGCAGATGCTATTCTAGCAGGGGATACTGGCGAAGAAGAGGAAGAGATCTGGACTAATCCAGGACGGAACACCCCAGACCCCAGCTGGAATCCAGTGGCGGTTGCGAAAGCACCCACTCCTCGAGTGACTCCAGTTCCCTCCACTTCAGTTATCGATCTCACGAAGGAAGATCACGGTGGAGAGTATACTCGTGCAATCCAAATGTCGATGGATACTTCGCAAACTGGGGTTAGATTTGGACCGAGCGAGCGGCCGCCCAACCCAGATTGGCAGATGGTTCCCTCAAATGTGTGGTGAGCTCTTCGAATTTTGAGATAGCTCTCTGAACGATTTGGAAAGGTTCAAGTTGCCTCTGGCGGTGCTGTGACGCAAGAGGACCAAACGCTGAAGGATGCTATCCAGGCGAGTCTCAACGAATTCACGGATGAATCAGATGTGTTTCCCATCAAGGAGACGGTGCGGGAAGGAGGCCGGTCGGTCATGTATCCATTAATTCATCGTCAACTCCTGATGTTTCCTTCACCGTTATATCTCACTTGTTCTTCCTTGAACCTCTAGGCCTGTTGCTTTACGGTCTGAGCTTGCGGCTCATGCATATATTGCCCTGGTATGTATTTTTCTTTTCTTTTCTTTTCTGATACCCGAGTTTACGCACTTTCCGGTGCTGTGAAGGTGTTGCAAGCGCTGTATTTCGTACCTCAAGTTACAGAAAATGTCGCAAAATTGAGATTGCCCGATATTGATGAGAACTTGCCTCTTGACCATACTGGTAAGTAAACGGTTTAGATCTCGTTTTACGCCAAGTTTTTCAAGTTAATTTAAGCTCGTGTAATATGGAATCTGGTCGAGCTCTTCGCAAACATGGATCTTGTGCAACTATCAGCTATCGTTGACGTGAATGTCCTTCCGTCTTTTGCAACTCCTCCAGGGGATGGCAACAATGACTCACTCGCTGAGGCCTCCGCTAGTGAGTGGGGAAACATCCGTCGCTCACTAGTTTACCCTCTCTCCTCTAGAGATCGTTAGCAATGTCGGGCATGCGATTGAGGACCACCTGAAGGCACAGGGCGAAGACGTGTAAATTGGTTCTTTCTCTGTCTTTCTTTCTTTTGATAACATATCTGTCAGAGTCCACCTCTTCAGCTTCACCTCTTGCCAAATTGAACTCAACGGTAGAATGCCCCGCAGAGTATCACGCAACTATGGACCAGGGACAGTGGTACACTTCGAGTTTGGAGGAGATGACTCGGGACCCAACGATCTGCTTTCCTGTCTTTCTTCTGTTCTATCTCGATTTAGGGAGGGTGGATCATCTCACGACGTCATAATCAAACCATCGGAACTTGTTGGCTTCCAGCTCAAACGGTTACCTAGTCAATCGACCGCGACACCAAAGACGACGCCTGATGCCTTTGTCTTTCCAAAATGGATCTACTTGGACCAATTCCTCTTCCATAACCTTGAGTTGGCGAACAACAAACGAGAAATGGAGCGTGAAATCAATGCGGAAATTCGAGAGCTCACTGCGCATAGGGAAACTCTAACTCATTTCAATGTCAGCATCACGAAATTTTCTCAGGAGAAAACCTTGCTCATCATCATACAGAAAAGAGATACGATCAAGGATTTGCGATCTACCATTCATTATTACGAACATGTGGCTAATCCCGGGGACGATCCTGTTCGCAAGCAAACTATTGAGCGCACGGCTGCTCATTTGAAGGATATCTTGATCATGATTACAAGCAAGGTAGAAGGTAAGGATTGCTCAGCATCGGTAATAGGCGTGTATCAATCTTGATGAATTACAGATATTGATCATAAAGTCGATAAGCTACAAGCGGAGTGCGCAACTCTTTTCGATTGCCCTGAGCTACAACAACACCGCGTAAGTGGGGCATATACACGAGGTCCAAGGCTCATTCTTTCGATTTGAAACGTTAGTATGATTTACGAGCAGTTCTCATGCATACCGGTCTTCCTGGTAGGAAGCAAATGTACTCATACGTCCAAGACTCAGATGGCGTTTGGTGGAAGACGGTCGATTATGAAGTCACGGAGGTCCGTTCTGGATGTTCACTTCCTACTCACCTTTCACGTCTCGGTTTTAGGTGCCAGAAGAAACGGTCCTCACAGATCCTACGGGTCTTCACCTGTCTGCAGGACCGTACCTGTTGTTGTACAGCAAGCACCTTTCGGAGGATGAGTTGCATGCACCGGTTGTTTGGCCGAAGATCTTTACAGTGGGTGCTAACCTACTCTCCTTGATCATTCAACTTACAATTACTCAAAACAGGATCCAGTCGAAGAAAACAACAAGAAATTCCTATCTATCTTATCTCCAGAATTGGTTGGGAAAGCGAAGATACCAACTCTTGTGACGCCGCCCCCTCCACCACCGCCACCTTTACGAAGGGCATCAACGCTCTCGCCCCCAAGAGAGAGGACTTGGGACGGACAACCCATTTCTCGGCAAAAGTCAAGAACGATGGATATGGGGCTAGATTGATTTATGTTGTAAGTGCATCTGCTCTGGCCATGGGCTATATAGCTCAACTAACTCGTTTTGCGTTAGGTACATACCACGCATAACAATAACTGTATTATATCGATATTTACTCCCGCTGTTGAGTTTCGCCGCCCTTGTAGCCCGCAAGCCATGTTGTCAGAAGATTTTGCCGTTGAAATGCTTGGCGGGCCCTGATAGCGCTTAACGAGGTCCCTGACCTTGGACGTTCTTCGGGTCGCTGGCATTGTTATGTAAGTAGAAGGTTCCGCGCGAATATGGCCCGTAACCAAGGTTATGGCGACGGTGATGTGAATTCATTGCATTGACGTGGGAGCTCGGTGGAGCCTAAGACAAGAATCGTCCAATCCAATTTGGATGACCCACGGTGGTATCAGGTTGCCCTTTACAGTAATGGTGCCGCAAACGATAGAATATGTACGATTCGCATGAGTTTCTAAGTGGTGCTTGGGGTATCCGTCCCTGAAAACGTATGAAAGGCTCTTGGCTAGCGCCAACTAGAAAGTGGGGCATAGGTGAAGTCGATTTGTACAAGGTTCGACGCCACAACTCGGCAATGACAATGGCTGCTCAGAGTCCCTCTTCTACAATTGTGTGCCAAAGGTTTCTGACCCACCATTCCGTCACAGATGGTGAACACCACTATGAACTCCGAAGTTAGCCATACAATCATTGGAGATGGGTCTGGGAGGACGAACGTGGAGACAGTCGAAATCATTGTTATGCCACCCGATATGGGCGTCAGGTCTTACTACAGAGAGCGGCCATATGTCGAAGTACCGCGTATTGTTATGCTTTGAGGACCCAAACAGTTCCCTCGCCATTCGGTTATACTCTGGGAAAAGATGCCACCCAAAAAGGTGTTCTTCTGGCGCAGGGTTGATCGCAGCGCTCGATGTTAGTGTAATGGGAGCAGAGTGGTTATTACAATGTTGGTGTGCAGGGGATGTGGCACGGAAAAATGTGAGTGTTGGTAGTGGCGAGTTTACGAGAAAGTCGTAGACTTTATCAAGCATTATTTGGTAGGCTTTGAGGAGCACACGATCTTTGGCGGGCCACATGTGCGCTGGGCTCCAGTGAGGCCCTGTGTTGGCGAAGACTATGGTGTCGAGCTCGCCCTCCCATGATTCTTCCATGCTGTAGTTCTTGAGCCCCTGCCGCCACTCCCCCATCGCTCGATGGTTATTCATGTTGACGGGCTCTTCCAACCCGGCCATGAGGAATGTGGCGTTGAGTTCTTTCTGTGTAATGAGGTCGTCGGAACGGTAAGATGTGATGACGGGTCGAGAGAAACGCGAGCGAGGAACACCGGCCAGCGAGGGCTTCGCGAGAAGTTTTGCGAAGAGCTGATTTTCGGGGTGAAGGGTAACATAGGAGGTAGTAACAAAAATTCCATTGTCTTCGAGAAGAACCTCCTCCACTACTGTGCGTGGCCAATCGCCTGCATGTTGTCCAACAAAGTGTGCAAGTCCAGTTAGCATCTGAACCATGACAGAGTCTACAAAGAGAGTTGAGCTAAAAAGAGTCAACAGGTTGAGCGTTGGAATGACAGACCTCCGATAAATACGAAACCACCCCGACTTTTGAGGGCCCTTTCAATAAAAGCCTCGGTGTCCCATGGTATAGGCGGTTTCCCGTCCTGAAGCACCCATTCCCAAGAAGCTACATGTCTCCCTCGTTCTTGCGCCTCTGCCTCTTTATCACGTCCATCAGGTCCACCTGCGGCCGGTGAGAAATCAGGACTACAAGTCAAGGGCATGCCCCACACGTCGGCGTCTGATGCACGCGCTGGTGAGGGTATCCATGATCCTAGTGTCGAATCCCGATATTTTGGAGAGGAAGGTTTCTCTTGAGATTCAGAACTGGGGACAAGATTATATAGGGACGCGAGCTTAGCGGGCTTCACGTAGAGAAACGAGAGGACGCCAACTAGAAGAAGAGCGCCCAATACCAGAGTAAGCCTCCTGGCGCTGGTCAACATCCACAATCTTCAGACTCGGTTGGAAGAGAGAATAAGTTATGTCGTGGGGGGCGCCTTAAGGCTTTCATCATTTAATATTGCTTGGCACAACCTGGGAACTTTTTGGCATTTAGCGCAAGGGTCGAATTGGGGTCGAAGACACTGCGACAACATCTCGAAAGGGCACAAGAGAGCAAAATTTGGAGTTTAATTATCAGGTACTACGCAACCGTAGAGATATAAGTACGACTGATGCAACAAGACGGAAAAACAGAGTGAAAGTGTGTAAAAAACGTGCGCCAAGGATAAGAGATTAGAAGGCGAAGGACCCTAAATAATACACAACCCAACAAAAGCAGTTTGCTTGGCTTACGACACCGTGGTAAGAAGTTTCAGCTCAAAAGCTTCAAGCGGATGGACTGGACCAGCAAGAAGGGCGCAACCTAATCGAGATCATTTTCTTTTCACTTCCGAATAGGACGTGATGGTTTCTGCGGATAATCTGAATCTCGACGTCTTGGAGCTCATTTTCGCGCATCTCTCTGGCAATGACCTTTCCTCGGTAGCCCTCGTTAGCCGATCGTTTCTTGCTGGTGTGATACCAAGGCTATACAACACCCTTTCGTATCGGTTGAGGCAGGGAAAAGGTTACGCGCTGGTGTGTGTTAACAACTGACCCAGGACAATGTTTAATGTGTGTCGTTTTTGCAGGGTCAGGTCACATCACCATTCGCTGTTCTGAGAACACATCCAGAGCTTGCCATACACGTTCGAAATATAGGTCAGATTACGCGCCATTTATTGAGTATGACGCTGAAACCCTCATCAGAAATTCGATATGCACCGCCCGTCATGCCCAACCTATCTTGCCCCCACCCCGAGTTCATTCGCGAATGCTCCAACGCCATCGATATTTGTCATAATCTCACGAAATTCAAATGTACTGGGGCCAACATACTACCCTGCTTCGTCAAATCGTTACAAGGAAAACCCCGATTAGAAGGTCTGAGAGTCAATGCAAACTTGTCTACAGATCAATCCAAGATCCTCATCCAACTCCAAAAACTCAAGACCCTCACACTTGAATATGCTTCTTGGAACGTCGTCGACGTTCTCCCTGTATGGATCACTTCGCTTAAGCAGACTCTGACGAGCCTTACACTTTATGTATGTCTTTTCGTACATTTCGTCCATTTGTGAGGAATAATGACCTTTTTCTAGATGACAAGCGAGTTGAATGAGAACACCCTGGAAGCAATTCTGTCCGAACTGCCAGATCTACGCGCTCTGCACGTCGTTGGATGCCAGAGATGTGATCACGTAGTTGTGCTAAGGCTCGTTTCGTACACCCCCCTTCTCGAAAGCCTCTCATTGACCACCACGGTTTGTGTCATGCATTTAACAACTCGAACTACTCATGACCTTTTCCTCAGGAAAGCACACGTCCACTTTGTCTCCCCGCGCCACCATTACACCATCTTCGCAACCTCGCCTTCGATACGCGGTACTCCTTGTCGCCTTCTCCCTCTCCGAATGTCCTCTCCACAATTTTGACGCACCTCAAGTCGTCCGCGCCTCCACTAACATCGTTCACCATCAAACTCCCTGAACGGAAAGTAACGATCGGACATCCTTTCATAACACAGCTCCTTGAGGCGCACAGTCACACATTGCGTAGATTGGCTTTCCTTGATTGTGGTATTGGGTTAGATTCAATAAACGAAATATCAAAGCAATGTGTGCACCTGGAGCGTCTTGACGTAGCCATCCCCGCGAGGGACATTGTGAGCTCTTATCTTACCGTTTGACTCTCATATACTCAACTACGTTTAGCTATCGTTCACAGCTTCCATCGCAAGGTCATACAGCCTTCGCGTGGTTGTCGACGTGGAAAACCATGTCGATCATGGTATTCGACAGTCATTGACGCAGGACAACATCCGTTACATGATGGCGAGTGTTCGAAGTCTGAGAAAGGTTGTCAGTATCACCGACAGGAGGGTATGGACGGTACGCACAATTCGTTGGGTCTTTTTTCGGTCCACCATATAACTCTTCCGACTTTCAGGGCCGTCAGAACACATTCAACAACATCATAGAAGTGACTCTGGAGCGGAAGCTCCCTCATACCTCTGGTTCGCTTTGGTTTGTATCTGCTGAAGCCTGAATGAGATTGTGGGGCCTTCAACTGTAGCAACTGGAGGTATGTAGTCATGTAACGGCTTGTTGGTATTGGTCTGTTGTAGAAAAGTGGCAACCAATCTTCCTGCACTATGGATCTCCGGAGATCTTCCAATCGTTCATCTGGCCGCCAACGCCTGCTTTTCGAATCAGACTCATTTGTACGTTTTCAAACCTCCTCTTCTCCTGGAACATACATCCCTCTTCTTTATTACTCCATTTCTGTCGGAAGGTCGCTGTGTCGCAATTCCCTGTATTGCATCATTACATCCCGGCTTCCCTGTGCAACATCCTCTCCCGCATCATCCTGTGGTTGCTCCCCCATTTCCCGGCTCTTCAAGCATGTCTGCAACAGCCCAAGAAAGGCCGACGCTTTGCCCGTGGCATGTTCACATCATCGCACATGGCTAGCATGGCCAAGAATATTTTGGACTGTCTACCAGAGAACCAGTTTCTGGATCTATGGCAATTTGTACGAACACATCAGGACGGGACCTGAGGCCTGAGTTCCCGTTTGAGTTTGAAAGTGTTATTGACATATCTGAACCATGGGCGTGCCGCAAACTTTCAGAGTTTTACGGAGCCTACTTCTGCCAGGTTCGGGATGTGCTTTCGCAACTCACCGTTGACGATACTTTGTTCCTTGTATCATGTGGTCCTGGATCGGAAAGGGGTCCATTGCTTATTGGAAACGAGGACTCGTACTTTGACTTGTGGCCGGGCTCGCGGCCGGGCTCGCTAGCGATGGCTGTGGAGAGGTGTAAAGCGAAGGTTCAGCTTATTGTTCCTGCTCGTCGTCCGCGCTGGGTAAATTCGCACTGGAGGCTGCCCACGGTGGGGACCTTGACACAGCACCAGGTTCGAAAAGCCTTACGCTTAGACCTCAGCGACTTACCAATTGTTCAGCAGTATTTTCACAATCTCAGCTGGAGGCGACTAAGTACTAGTTCCGACTCGCCAATGCCAGAAGAAGGTGAAGTGGAGCTTATCCACCTTGCACAAAAGCACCTCCACTTCCTCCTACCGCTGACACTCAGTGAAGCAAATTTTGCTTCCAAATGCACTGTTCTTGTCAAGCCGTGTCGTCCTCTCTGCAGACCGCTTACAAATGAAGATAAAGTAAAAATCCTAGACGCACTCAAGAAGCAAGCCACCTTTCCGATCCTTTACTCAAACATCCCCTTCATTATATTTCCTCGAGAGGCAGGGTATTGTTAATGGGGTCTTTGACCTGGATCACGTCTCTAATTTGGCCAACTGTGAGTGCTTCCCTGACGGCTTTGCGTGGTTTGTCTTATTTGTCATTTCTGCAGTGGACGCGTCACTCCACAACGCGACGGACAAATATGCGATGTTCGCTGTGACCTGCTCGCACGAATTCTTGGACTTGTACATCAAACACATCACAAGTGAGAACGAGAAATGGGCAGCTCTACATTCAGAAGGGAAAGTTTACACTCGGGAGCTGAATGTAAATCGCCTTTGATCCTAGATGGTGTTTGCCACTCACCTTATCTATATGTAGCTGTCGGATCCATCGTATCGTGTCCCCAGTTACGAACTCGTTGTTCTCCAACCTTACCATTTCTTGCCGGACCACTCCTGGCTCCTTTTCTATAATCGGGCTCGGAATGGACTGGTCGAAGGTGTGACGTCCTGTAAAATAGTCAACAGAGTGCTTCGTCAAACTCCGTTTGATGACACCTCGCCCACATTCCCTTCATTTTCCTCGTTCCCTACCTTACGGGAGAGCCTACAACAGATGATAAACCCCTACCTTGTCATCTTGGCTGCTGAAATCAAATTTCGACGATATAACGCGGCTGGTGGTCCTGACCTTCCCTCGGTTTACGATTCTCTGATGCGGAAAACTATTGAGGTCGCCGACTTGCTCTATTTCCAACCTTCGGGGCCCTCAGGCCCTGCTACCAATCAGTTCATACGTATGGACGAGACGTCATATAATGTTCCAGTCAACTGGGGTGCCACGGCGACAGAGATGGGTGTTCGCACTGGTGCTGAGGGCGAGTCTGGTGGTTCCACTGCCCAACAACAGAGGCGATCCGCCGCTGGTGGTGGAACAAGACGCACGGACGCTGACTACTGGCGCAATATGCTTTCCGCCCGCGGTATGTTCCACCCCCCATTGTGACCCCCCACTTATTGGAAGTATCTGCTGGTAGACCTTGAATTAAACGACAATGATTTAGATTTACTCCGTGAGATAGAAGAATCGAACAGAGGTGAGCTCCACAATCAATTTTGGGACTCTTGCTGATCATTTCCAAGCAGCCTCGAGTCGCGGTCAATCTATTGAACAGGTTGCGACGTGGAGGGCATCTGTTGAAGTTTAAGGGTTTCGAATTGATTTCACATGACTCATCAGTTGGGAAATTGGCACCCATTTTCCCCAGTCTTGCTGCGATGCTGCAAGACTTGAGTAGTTTCAAGCTCACTCAAGAAATAGCTGACTTTCTCAAAGCTAAATTCCAGGCTACCCTCCATGGAACAGCACAAAAAACACCCTTTCCCCTGCACTGGACACTGGACCTGTTGGATGACTGCAATGGGATAGTTGTTGTTTTGGTTGAGGCTTTCAAACACCCAAGTGCGCCACGCCTGCTCACATAGTAATTGGTTGATTGATCTCTTCAAGTCCGCACAACATGGGATGCCACGAGGTATTGCGATACCATCGGCGCCGCCCTGACCGGACAAAATCGTAAAACAGAAGAGAAAATCTTGAATAGGTACCCGCCCATCTATTCACCTATTGTCCATAAAAGTTCGCCTTTTGTGGTAACGGATATGCATAACAATGGGCTGGTTTGGTATTTGCCTGACATCCTTTCAGGAGCACGCCAGGTATGTGACTATGGCCACTGGGTGTACAATCTCAAACCCTGTTCAGTTGCAGATCTGGAAGTTCCTCAAAATTCTTGAATCAGCTTTGACGATAGACGACAAGGCTACTACTAACTGGAGGAATCATAAAATGCACTACAGGCCTGCAGAGCAATGTCAACAACTCAAGCCCGGGACCGTGACTTTATCGCCAGCATGGTTCCAGCAAGGGCACGAGGTGTGAAATCTCTTTGGATCCATAAACAAAGTCTGAACGATCTGCAGTCTTCCGAGTTCAAGCTTGAAGTCAGCGCGCAAATGAAGCGTGGCGCCGTTGGGGCGCAGTGGAGCCTGGAAATGCAAGAGTCATCTGCTTTGATTGGCGCCATCCTGAGTATCATACATCCACAACTTTATGAGCAGGGAATGGAGGCACTCCGCCGCCTCGAGACAGAAAATGGGTTTGTGGATGATGAGGAAGAATTGTACACGGCGCTGAAGCATTGGACTCCCCCTTTCAGCGCCTTGTCAGTGATTAGCAACCGGTCAACACCAGTACACCGTGACACCAAAGGGCGCAATGAGTGGATTGATGTCCTAGTGCCTTTGGGAGAGAAAGACTCGACTGGAATCATGGATTTCCCGGGTTTAGGCATATCCATCAAGTACAACCCATCGACAATAGTTGGGGTTGCTGGCAAAGTGATCTCACATGGGGCAGTGTTTGAAGGGGGAGAAAGGGGGTGCATTTCATACTACATGCGCAATAAAGTTCATGAGAGGTTAGGAGTTCCAGCGGGCACATGGATGAACACCAGTATATATGATTGCTAGCTGCCATTTGGCGAGCACCATTACACAGTAACTTTGCCGTTGTGGCTAGTGCGCCTGCGCTGCCTGGTAAGTTTTCAGAGCTAGCGCCTGTTGGTCACAATGGCGCTGGCGCCTCTTCGTCAAAATGGCGCTGGCGCCTCTTCGTCAACATGGTGCTGGCGCCTCTTCGTCAACATGGTGCTGGCGCCTCTTCGTCAACATGGTGCTGGCGCCTCTTCGTCAACATGGTGCTGGCGCCTCTTAGTCACAAGGTCCGCACGCGTGGACCCTCGAAAGTCAACAGTCCTTGCTCCGCACCCAGAAGAGATATATACATGTCCTATTGCTCAAGTAAAAATTGCCACTCAAGAGTCACCCTCATCAAGATCCATCGGCCCAGATCCATCTTCATCTCCCTCACTACCACCTGGCTGCGCCTCTCTGAAGGCAGGCCAACCATAATCACTTGCGGAGTCACCAGTGCTGGAGTGTCCTGATGCTGGCCAACTCAAGCCCGTGGAGGACACAGGAGAAGGTTGGTATTCTGGTTGCTCTTCGTCTTCAGGTTGCTGTTCAAAGTAAGGGGCGACGGCGCCCGTGCGGAGCGCCCCAGCATCCTGCCAAGGGCCTGCGGGTATGGGACCGACGGGCTGCAAGCGAATCTCCTGTTGATGTAGCCGGTCCATCAAAATCTCAATGGCCTCTATGTCGTTTCGGAGCTGGTCTTGTTCCATGCGACCACGAAAAAAGAGGTGTTGGACCCACATCTGTGCGCCATGAACCTTTGCTGCTGCTGTGGCCGCATGCACTGGCAGAACTGGAATGCCAGCCTCATCGTCCTCGACTTCCATGTTGGGTTCACAGTATGGCTAAACAGTAGAAGGTATCAATAAAATCGATGGACAACAGATCAAGTGTGTAAATACCTGTCCCATGGCTTCGATCCACTTACAAAAAGCTTTTTCCTCCTCATCCGAATGCGCCTTCAATAGCTTTTTCTCATTCTCACCGCTGGCGCCCACAGAATTCCACCAGTTGGCCTCATATGTCGCTAGAATCGGCGCCTGGTCTTTGGGCCCGTATTGTGCTTTCAAAACCGCGGGACTGAGTGGTTTTACAATCCGTCTTGCAGGATTTGTTGCGTTCAATAAAGCAGGTGCCCATGGCGGTAGGTCAAGTACTCCACCCAAGCAGTACGCTTTCCCAACTTCCATGCAAAGACGGTTCTATAGATAGATTAAGATAGATCAAGATAGATGAACAGTGAACACCATGAGGACGAACAGTTTCATGCTGAATCCTCAATTTCCACCACTCTTGCCTCTCCTTGTCATCAATCCAGTTCACTTTGTCATCGGAGTATGCACTCCATGCCGCCTTGCATCGGGAGAAGAAGTGGTAGACGCGCCATTCCATTGCAGTGTCCATGATTCAAGTTGAGATTGGCACACAAAAATGAACAAGCCGGTCATGTGGTTTGGACACGTGATGGCCCACAGCTACTACATTGCCATCCCGCAATATGTTGCGCCCCAGTCCGTCGCGCCTGCGGAGTATGTTGCGCCACAGTGTTGCGCTCACACAGTACACGGCGCCCACACAAGACATTGCGCATAATGCTGCGCCACGCAGTACGTTGCGATCACACAGTACACCGCGCCCACACAGCGCATTTTGCACACGCATTACGTTGCGCCCACCCAGGACAGGATGTTGCACCTGGTTGCTTGTGTATGAATTACATGACAAGTGGCTTATAATAATGGTTGGACAATTGAAACCTGTTATCCGCATCGATGGCAAGCATATTCCACAGATCCTTCTGGCGTTCAGCATAGCAAACATGCCCAGGCTTTGCTTGGTCTGCTGCCATTTTTTGCCATGCACTCCACTTGTTCACCTGATACAAGAAGTATCTCGTCACCCATTCCATCTCATGTGACAACAGGTTGAATTCTTCTCTCCATCTGTGAAACCTGGCCCTGGCCCGAAGCCAATTGATGCGATGAACTAGAAAGGTAATCAATAATCTACTACTGAGGAGGGTATAGGGATGCTTTACACTCTACCATCCGTTCGTTGTCCTGCATATCGCCTGCCAAGTTGGAACTCCAAAACCAGGCTGGCTTTGCCCTACTTTGCCCTCGCGCATTCGGGTCTGCTACCGCAGTATTTGCCTTCATGTCCTCCTTCAAGAGCGGTTTATACTGGCGCCCTATCTTCTTCTCTGGGTCGCCCAATCTTGAAATGGCATCGATGGCATAGGAGTAAATCTGGCGATGATGATGAAGCGTTTGCCCAACAGCGTGCACCGTCGCCCATGCCCTTGTTTTCTTGACTTTACTTTTTTTGATTTTTCGAAGCTTTCTTCCATATTCAAAAGACAAATTCGCCAGTGACACTCGGACGCCTTGAAGAGCATCGTTCACTTGCCCTTGGCGCAACTGATATTCTTTGGACAAAAAATGTTGTAATCCATGAGCCTGAAGGTGCTCTTCTCCCATGGCTGACGGCAAGGCTAGTTTCACATGTTCAACAGCTTCAGCCGCAGCAAGCGCCGCTGCCTGGGCTTGTGCAACCTTTGTGGCGGTGACCACCATGATATCAGGCGCGCTGCCACTGAAATTTGACTTGGCCAGATCATCGTCCATCTGCAGAACATCGTCCATATCAAACTCTTCACGAAGCAACAGCTGATTTTCATTTAATGCTGGGTTCCATGCTAAAAAGGTCATTCCCATCTTGTTGAAAGCATCGATTCTCACTCTTAACCTTTCCCTCCTCTTAGCAATGTCAACTTTCTGCAGGATAGTTGGTTTTTTTCCAGTACGCCGAATGAGAAACCTTAGTTCAATCCTGTTTTAATGTAAGCCATTCCTCGTATGCATTGGCTCTGTCAGGGTCTTACTGTGTCTCCTCAATTTTGAGTCCTGTTGCAATCCAAGATGTTTGACCTGTACTGCCCATCGAAAGGCGCTCCTGGTCCATCAGCTTTAATTGGACTTGAGCGGTGGTGAGGGGGGCTGTAGTGTTGGTTAGTCTAGGTAAAATGGCGTGAGCGCCAGGGGTGCTAGCACGGCGTCCATGAGCGCCAGGGATCCTGGAACGGCGCCCTCAATTTGTGCGCCACTCTTCCTGGAACGGCGCCTTCAATTTGGGCGCCACACTCTTGGTGGACGAGCCAATTCCACCAAAGTTGCATAGTAAGAGCTTACCTGGACAATTGGGTGGATTTCTTGGCGCCATAATATCCATCGCCTTCAAATTTCCTTGTGCCCGATCGCTCTCAGCCGCACGAATCTCTGCCTGCCATGTGTGGTTGTGTTCGCCTGCCGAACTATTCAGTTGGTCAAAGTAGTCTTTGCTGTCCACCAGACCAACGACAGCCTTCCTGTACTTGGCAATGACTGAGGAGACAATGTTGACCATTTTATTCCAGTTGCTGTCATTCATATGGTCGTCCAAGACCTTGGCCCAATGGGCGAGGGTGGCCGTGCGGGTACTCCTCGAGATATCATTGAGCTGCGCCCAAAGGCTTTCCAATATTTCCCCATCTACCATTCCAGCTCCGGGAATAAATGACGTCGCCAACCAGAAGAGGCACTCATCCTGATGACCATGGACATGAAATAAACCAATTCCCATGATCAAATTAGCCTTCTCAGAGATGGAAAGATTTGGATTGTTAGCAATCCTGTCCCAGAGATTAACATGATACTGACACATCACGTCATATATGATCATGATATCGTCCAAACCATTCAGTCCCATGTTCTTCAGCGCCTCACAAAGAGCATAGTTGATGTTCAGCTGGCGCTCGCCCTTCTGAAAGTCAACAACGCTGCCTGGAATGAAGGCGCCTGATCGGGGGCAGGCAAATGCCGCAATGCCAGTTGCATCACAGCCTGCGTGATTCTGACTTGCATTGTTGATGGCCTGGTGGTTGCTGCATGTTGATTTGACCTACAACCAAATGAGTCAGGTTTTGAAAGGGGCAGTGGGCGCAGTAGGATTCTGCGCCCAAAAGCATCAAATGCTACATGGCTACATGGCGCAGCAACCTCGGGCGGCGGAACTGGGATGCGCCACATATGGGAAGGCGGTCCAACTCACCTGGTGAGTAACAGTGGGCTGCGCCAGGTACTTCTTGTAAGCCTCCTTCTCTGTCATCATTCCTTCCCCACTGGTCAGCCATACATCGTCCATGGCATTTCGTTGCTTCAGGTGATCAGCTGAGAAGTTACCATCAACACAAAGAAATCGTGTGAAGACCTCGCTGCCAATGGGAATGAGTATGTGAACAAAGGGCAGTTCATGCTTACGGATGTGGGTCCTCTTTCCAGTTCATTGGCAAGTTAACACCTGGCTGGGCGCAAGATGCACAACCATATGCCATCTCTCCAGCCTTTGGCATTCTAGGCTCATGTCCAAAACCAAAGCATTTTTTAAGTTCCAAATTGCGCCATTGCCGACTAACTCTTCTGAATTCGCGATACCTGTCCTGGGGTGATGGGTGAGACAACATTCAAGTATATCAACCAAAGCAATGTGTACCGGAACCGACTTGGGGAAAGCCGGAGAAGTCAGGCGCCGCAGCTTGAGATAGTATTGATATGCGGAAGTTTTGCAGGTAAGATTGGACAACCGAAAATCATCCAGTACCTTGAAAGTGAACAGTGTTTTAACATTTTGAAAGCTTGTTGGAAATAACTGTGAAGTCAACAGCTGCTCATCGGTGGGCGCAGCTCCTGGACAGGTGCATAAATGCAAAGGAAGATGGTGAATTCCGTTTGTTTCAATGACAAGCACAAAGGGGTTGCCCAGAGAATCCTCTGTGTCAGGTTGAGGAGCTGTACCGAAACCCTTTGTTCTTTTGTAGTGTTCCTGAGTGTTGTTGTCAGCTTCTTCTTCGGTCACCATTGTCTCCATCCTGATCAGATGGTTCAGTCTTGATGTCTTCGCCATCATCGCCGACATCTGCATCAGCCTCCATGGACTCATCTTCCCCGAGAAGGTCATCAGACACTGCTTGAACTCGAATATCAAGATCAATTGGGATGGGTGCGGGCACCGCCCATGTTTCGGGCGCCGCCCATGTTTGGCCAACAGGGCTGGTGGGCGCCGCTGGTCCTGCGGCTTCTGCAGCCTCACAACTTGCATCCTGCCTCTCATTTTCTTGTTCCTCGAACTCCGCAAAGTTGGGACAAGGGGATCCATTATGGCCCAAATTCAACACCAAGCCTGTCTCCCAGAGACCGGCGGTACGGAAATAGCGGCCATTCCAGTATTGGACCCGATGGGTATGAAGCCTCCTATGAGTCTGGCGGCAACAGGCGCGACAATATACAGGCTGCAAGGCACAATCGAGGCATCGGAACTTGGATGCCATTTTGCCGCAATCTACACAGACCATCCCAGGAGGTGGGGCCTCTGTGACAAGAGTTACCTCAAGATGCTTGTCCCTGCGGGCAACCCATTCTCTCAGATAATCGTTCTGGCTCTGGGATCACTGATAAGCAGAAGTTGGAAAGAACAGAGAGATCCACCCACCTTGCCTGACGTTCTCTGGTGAAAAGGGACAGCAAACTCATCAATGACCATTGTGTCTACATCGTGATCGAATTGGGCTTGCTGGCTATGCTGAGCTGGCGCTGACGGTGCATGCAACAGGGAATCAGGAGTAAAGTATTTGATCTTCTGGACGTATCCCCTGGTTGTCTTCTCGTATTTCCCTGTATAGAATACAGGTCCAGGAGGCCGTTTGGATTGGTATCTATGCATGGTGACTAGTGGATGTGTTTATGAGGCAAAGTAATGGTCAAAGTAAGGACGGTGAGGCAATTGCCATGCGCCGAACACGTGGCACAGGCACCATCAGCACATGGCTGCCTGCATAATGCACCCTTGATGCAGGGCACCTGTCAAACAAATAATTGGGCGCAATTGCATAAAAGGTATGGCGCACATAAAAACGCATGATCATTCATATGTTGCACAGACAAATGAAGTCCGGGGGTTACGAAAAGGTTAAAAGCTGACTGTTCGTCAATACCTACACCCACTTGTGTTACGACCTGACGATATCTGCGCCGTGTTGTTGGCATCGGCGCCCAGCTGTGTGCCTGCGCCCACTTGTGTTACGACCTGACATGAATGGTGAAACAAAATTATGGCACCTGTCAGATTGGATTGAAGAAAACTTGCATCAAACGGTTTTTGGAGGTTCTTATCCGCAGAGGCGCAGCACCGTTGGTTCGGCATCAAAGGCCATCCATAGAAGATTGGGTTGTGGAAAGCAAGAGGGCATGTTCTAAATCCCCCATCTGCTCAGCAACTCAACCCAATGCAGCATAGCATGCCATTAGTGAGGAGGGACTAGCCAGATGACGAAATTATCACACCTGTCTCAAGCCATGTTTGCTTGTTTGCAATATAAGGCGAGAAAACTTCACCTTGAGATAAGAGCAAAGCCAGCAATTGGGTTGCATCACCAAGCATTTTCGTAGGCAGAGAGCGGATGTTCTAAATCCCCCAATGCAGCACAGGGACTAGCAGAGGACGAAAATATCACACCTGTCAAAAGCATGCTCGGTTTGCAATGTAAGGAGAGAAAACTACACCTTGGGTTAAATTTCCTTGAGACGAGCAATGCCAGCAATTGGGGCACAGCCATAGTGAGATGCTAGCCAGATGACGAGATTATCACGCCTATCAAAAGCCATGTTGGGCTGTTTGCAATGTAAGGAGAGAACCTTCACCTTGGAATAATTCTCCTTGAGACAAGCAATGCCAGCAATTGGGTTGCGTCACCAAGCATTATCGTAAGCGGAGAGCGGATGTTCTAAATCCCCCAATGCAGTACAGGGACTAGCAGAGGACGAAAATATCACACCTGTCAAAAGCCATGCTCGGTTGTTTGCAATTTAAGGAGAGAAAACTTCACCTTGGCCCTTGGGATAGATTTACTTGAGACGAGCCATGCAACAAGCATCGGCCCCGATGAGAAGAATAGGATCCGTCACAAAGCGTCCTCATAAGCAGAGAGGGCATGTTCTAAATCCCCCATCTGCGCCACAACTCAATCTAATGCAGCATTAGTGAGGGACTAGCAAGATGACGAACTTATCACACCTTTCAACAGGACCAGTAGCGGCGAGGGGCAGAAAGATACCAGGGGCGAGGGAGAGGGACAAAAGTGAGCTAAACAAGGTGACTGGCCGCTGGTTGAGATAGTCATCAACAGAGTTCGGCGGACCAAGTCACAGTGTCGAGCGAGGGACAGGAGAGGGGCCAAAGTGAGCTCATCAAGGTGACTGCTGGTTGAGATAGTTATCAACAGATTGCGGCGCTCCAGGGCCGCACAAATTATATCATGCTCAGTGCGTTGTCGTAAGGCAGGATACATCACTCACCAAGTGCGTTGCCGTAAGGCAGGATACATGATCTCTGCACAGATAGAGGCATGCCCTGGCGCATCAGATAGCATGCCCTGGCGCATCAGATATTGCCTTTTTGGGGGGACCGGCGTCAGGTACTGATATCCAGATGAGGTCAAGTTTCAAAGGTCCTCACCTGAATATGGTCAAGGGCTCGTCAGGATTGGCGCTCTTTGCCGGGCACGTGTAATCCTTGAGGTCTTTGCAATTTGTTTGTGCTGCCTTGCCCCCTTTGCCCTCTCGATGATAATTTGTGAGCCCACTCCCACCGAACATTCCTGTGACTCCAGACATGCCTTTGTTGCAGACTTGCTGGCCACGGCCCCCAACTCCAGGACGAAAACCGTTCTCTTCAGAGGAGTCGGCAATTCTCAGACAATACCTGGAAGATTTTTGTGTCAAAACGAAGGAAGAAAGAAAGAAGCTGCTGATGTATGAGGTATACAGACTCATGAAGGCCAAGGCACCCCCCCTGCTTACAGAGGAGCAGTGGAAGGAGAGGAAGACGGTGGGTGCTAGCTAGTCATACTGCTGCTCATTTGACGCTTTTGCCATAGAAGATCAAAGAGTGGTTTCAAAACCATGGAAGACGCATCAGGATGCCAAAGTTTGGATATGTCAAACTCATTTCCACCAGATATGTAGTTGCGCACCTGCGCCAGGAGCAAATACATGAGGTCGTGACTCGGCTCGCAAAGGGCGCGCCACCTGGGTCAAGAGCGTTTCTTGCTAAATACCAACAAGGCCTAAAGGAAGTAATGGGTGGTCTCACAGATGCTGAGAAAGAGGAGTATAAAGGCTTGGCAGAGGAATGGACGAATGCCGTACCGCCCCCTGACGTCCAAAGAAAGTGAGCGGTCCAAATCATGCCTTTCAGCGCCGTCTCACCTTGACCACCAAACAGACTCAATTCGAAACATGGCCTGGGCATGATGAGAGAAATGGATAAAGTCAAGCAATACCAGCTAGGAGTTTTCAGCTGGAGTCTGGTGGGCGACATAGATGAAAATGGACAACATAGGAGCGCTTGGTTGGACCATAATGCCGATTTTGGTCCTGAGGGCCTCCGAGAGT